ATTTGTACTGGCGCACATTTGGCTCCAGTAACCCCTGCGTCACCAGGACACGCTGCAACTGAAGCACCTCTTCGCTTAAAGCGATCACAACGCATGATTTATACACCAGTCAGAATAGGTTTTCAGCTAGAGAGCTGCGTAAACTTTTCACTTATCTTGATTCACGATGCTATTTATATAATGTTTACCGGCCGTCCAAAATGTCATGATTTCAAATGTTGACTTCACCGCCTTTTTGAGAAACGAAAACGGTACACGGTAGAGCGTATTAAGAAGAGGTTGTTTCAGGAACTAAAAAGTTAGGTCTTTTATCATTCTTTCTTTTATAACCTGAATTCTTAATTTTTGAGTGATTTGAAGGCAAAAAAAAAATTTAGATGCACTTTGAAGTCAAAAGAAATGCATCGGTGACAAACCCTAAGTGCAGTGCAGTGAGACCAGAAAGAACATCTCCATGCTTCTTCATTTCCACCATGGAAAGACTTCCTCTAGGGGTTGGCATTTTTACACACAGTGTCTCCGACGTGTGGTAAACGTAAAACTAGTGGATGGGCTCCTATTGATTGAGGACAACTGCGTAGAAAGGATGGATGAGTGAGTGAGTGACTTGAGCAAGCATGAGAAGCCGCTGTGTAACATTTGTAGTAGCTGAACGCAAGCCAAACGCTGACTTAGATGCGGTGCATGTAGGCACACGCTTCGTCTACACATGGAGTGATGATTAATGCGTTGGACGGAGTAGTAGCTTATCACAGTTGCGAATAGGTTATTGTCGCTTTGCATGAGACAGATTTTAAGTTTTTTTTTTTTCAATCAATCACTTATGCGCTATGTACAACTGCAGCTAAAGAAACTGTGGCTCCCATATTTCTGGCAAATTTAATATGCATGAATCTGCATTTAGAAATAGAATATTTAAAGACTATATCATTTAAATGGAATAGTTACCTATGCACTGAAAAAGATTACTTTGAATGCCATTAAATTAGAACACTGAATACAGTTTGCTGGTCATTAAGGGTTTGGAAATGTGATAAAAAACATTATTTAGTTCTTCCCAGTCCCTTACAAAACGTCATCTTAAAAAATGCAACAGCTTTCCTTAAAAATTCATTTTATTTACTTTGCATAAGTTCCGCGGAATTTAAATTGTCTTTAAGATGCTAAAAAATGCAACTCATAAGTTCAAAAAACCAGCACTTATTTCGCAACGACTTCTTTGCCTGTCAGTGCATAAGTTCATAGAGTTATGCAGCAAAAACAGAATAAACTTCTGTCGATACATCTGGAGATGGAAATTTCCACTAAACTCCTACATAAAGTAGGATCTGTGAGTCACTTCGATGGCACCCGCCATTCACTCTGTCTTGTAGCCTGAGGGAGCGTGATCCTCCTTGCTACAAATAGTGAACTAACATACTTACAAATATTCGCCTTAACATTACTAACAGCACGAAATCGGCTCAATGGCTACGTAAAGTTGGAAGCCACCCAATGCGAGAATTACGGTAGATTAAGTAGGGCCAAGAAATGATGCCATGGTTGAACTTGGCTAATCTTTCTGGCTATTCTGTTTTAAGTACCTTCTGACTAGGGATTTTAGCTAATGGGCTCAAATTCTACACAAAATAATACGCGAATGGATGGCGGCCATAGCGAAGGAGATTTGCATTTGATTGGTCGGCGTGGTAGCTACGGGCCGCTTCAAAATAAGGCGGAGCGGATAAAAACTAAATTATTTCTACCCATCATGAGCCACACGATTGTTTTAAATCTCTTTTTAGCACTATTGGGAGCATCACAGGGATAGGTATCAGAGATTCGCACCTTTTCCGTCCACTTCCCCACTCCCCCTGAAGGCAGCTGCTGAGTCATTCGGTAACCCTATGCCAACAATGGCTTTGCCTAAGTGTGTTAATAAAGACAGCGAACGAAAGCGCTCCCACGTTTAAGTGTTCCAGTGATTTATTCTTTTCTATGTCTCGGTGTGATCTGGAACCTGCCACCTACTTATTTTGTCCCAGAACTATTAAAGTTGATATACACTACTTAAAATATAACAGTAGCAACGGTTTAGTAGTGAATGTTTTAAAGCAAAGATGCTGTTTCCAGAAAATTCCTACCAATGTATGCATCTTGAGACAAATTTAAATTATCACGTCACGTTTTATCTGATTAGTTTTTATGGAATTCCCTTCCTGTTTCTAACACCCCAATTCTAAAAATAGTGGTAGAAAAATGGAATTTAAGTCAAAATGGCGGGTGGTAATTCAGTTGAACCGACTTGTCAGTCACCGGCATCACTGTGGTTTGTGTGTGTTTGGAATGATGTACAAGTTTAGTTATATGAGGATGAACAAAAATTTTACAACCAAGCAAGTTTAATAAAGTTTTTTTTTGCTTTAATTAGTTGATCCGCTTTTTTTGCATATGATCTACCCTCTCAGGAACGTCATTTTTGAAGCGTTCGGCGAAATCGTATGTCACTTTAATGATCACTCGTAAAAGATAAGGCTAGACGTTAACTAAATTTGTGCAAAATTATTGTTGCGAAGGTCTTTATCGATGTGTCTTTTGATGTCTCTGCCATCCTAATCCACACTTGAACATTTTTGTCTACTCTGGGGAGTGCAAGTTTGAATAGACTGGCATCTCGCGTCAACGAAGCATTGTTTGATTCTCCGTCTACTACCGCTCTTAAAATGCTTATACGCCTCCGGCAAAATATTCCTAATTTAAGCACGAATTTCGAGTAAAATATTTTACCCACACCCGAGGTATGAATCTTTAATCCAAATGGCCCTTCCAACAAATTTTCATAGTGGCATTAGTCAATTTTTAACTCCGACAAGGCGGAAATGCCTATTAATTCTTTAACTTATTTGCGCAGTAGAGAGTGATTCGTTGAATTTTTCTTTTTTTTTTTGCGGTTTCTGAGCCGCTGAAATGAGTAAATTTTTTTTCGCAAAGGCAGCTTTAGGCTTTGCGTGTATTTCGTGACGATTTAAATACGTAGACCGCTAATTGTGCTGTAACTTGAAGTTTTAATTCTTGAATTCCGCATACATAAGCGCCGGGAACCGCACAATGGGGGTATTTTAACCGGATTTAATTTTAGGCTGTAGCAACTTTGGATTGGTCAAGAAAACCCATAAGGTGCAATAATCATGTTTTTCACGCCAGTGGTATGGTGGCATCCGTGGTATCTGCAGTTGTTTCTTCTCCAGCGTCACAAACCCATGAGAACCTGATTTCCTTGTCTGAGTTTGGGGTCACATGCTCGTGAAATATGCTCGCATCAAGTGGTGATGGCCCATTGCACCAAAGCGTGCGTGGCAAACCAATTGGCTGATCTCAAAGCATTAAAAGTGATGCAGTGTTCTTATTCAAACGTTGGTAGCATTTTGCAGATTGGGAGGTGCAGCATTGCAAGCATTAACTTTATACGGGAAGGATAAAATACCTGGACTGTGACAGTAGATTTGTCCATGAGACCCTGATAGTTACAGTGTTATATTATTACCCTAGCAGTTTATTTGTAGATCAATTAGGTTTTTAGCAATTCATGGATGGGGACTTATCTGCCATAATTGCTGCACTTGGGTCTCAAAATTTAAAGAGAATTTAACATTGTGATTTGTGATTAACTTATATCCATTTAAGATGGCATAAAAGACACCAACGAAAGTCTGTTTCGGGCATTATCCAACGACGAGATTGCCATCGTGTTGAAGAAGTCAGCTAAGAGCAGATTTATTTCTATTTTACACATTATACGTAGTCTAGTCATATATACAAGTTAGATAGGGCACGTTCACCAAAATGTGGTCCACATAGGCAGATCTGCAAGCAGTTTACTGGGTTTTATTCATCAGAGAGGTCACGGTAACTCTTTGATGATTTGTTTAACACTGCGTTTGATTACATGGGTAATTAAGACTCTGCCTTTTGTGCTTCTGCTTAGTGGTATGGCCTCCGAGCCATGTCGGTGGCCTCAGCCCTTTTTTGCGTCAGTAATATATTTTCTGTCATGCCACTATGACTTCTCACGACTTCAGGGAAGATAAGGAGCGATACAGTCACCAGTTCCGAAAATTTGCAGAATCGACTTTTGTCGCTTGGGAAATGAGTAAACACCCAGGCAGGCTAAAATAATCGAGAAGCATGGCAAAGGGATAAATAAGAGGTGTTCCGGTGTAAGGACTACCATTTTATGGGTAAGTAGCGCAAGTTGTGTGCCATTGATGAAGGAATTAGTTCCTGTATTACAAACGCATGTTATTACATTATTTAAAATAGCCTATTTCCCACAACCTTCCTTGCATTTGTGGGATGAGGAATTGAAGTATAACACAATACTTAGCCCTATCAAATTAGCAAAAATTCGGTAATTTTGAGATGCCACGTATTGCGAGGTAGGACCATAAAACCTCAATTGTTTAGCTCTCGGTTTTTGGTAACGGCCCACTGAGGCCTCCGCCATCGTGACGTCGCCAGACAGGCTGTACCAATAGCTACCACGCCCTTCTGCACGTTGACAACACACTGTCTACCCAGGTTTCATGCCTTCTTCCGTCTTCATGGATGTCTCGTGGACCTACGGCATTTAAATCTTTTCCGAACCACCATTAAAATACCATTTCTTATTACTATATATTGACGTACAAACTGACAATTTTCGGTGAAATATTTACTTGGGAAATTTAATGAACTCAGCCACTTTAATTGAGACAGTTTCAATTCAACAGTTCACCATTTATTAATCCACTTCAGCTTTACTACCTTTTGAAATCCCTTAATAGTATAGAGGTATGACCTTTCTTAATTCTGCAAAATTTTGGTGAAATGGAGGTTTCAGAGTAACTGAGTACCAATTAGGCTATGGGACAGCACCATTGCGGATCCCTTTTTGCACCGCCACCACCAACATCGCCATCGTTCGTGTAAGGCACCACCGATACAAACAACTTCTTATTTGGAGTTTTATGCGGTAGGATCGCCTATGAGCGTTGCAGGGCTAAATACAAGTAAAAAAATAAAGTGTGAAAAGTTAGTGGGTGTGATAATCACGAATAACAGCTCCTTCCGGGCAATTACTCCAAATTACCAACATAACAAATTGGAGGTAAAATTAACGATTGGAAGTCCCCCCACATCTGACGCATGAAATTTAAAATGGTTCAAAACGGCAATATGCAAGAAGCACCGCAAGAATTTAGCTCCATTCCCTAGACTAAGAAGACTTACACTCGCGCTTTTTAGGTTGATTAACAGTTGAGGGTCCCCTCTGGCAGGAGTTTACGAGGAAATATCGATTAATTACACAGTGCCAAGTCAGCACGCCGAAAGAGGACCCCCTTCGATGCACAGGCCCCTCCCGCTCATTAGGGAGCCTTAATAGCGAGTACGCCAAGCACCCCCGAGTCGCTTCAAAGACAGAAATTGACATTACGTTTGGTAAAAAGCGACCCCGTCCGCAAGGGCGGAGGTTACTTCGATGGAGCGAAGGACACACCTAGTGCACCAACATTCTTCAAGTCCATTAAAACCAACAACCACACCTACTTCGCGATAAATTAGAGCCTAGTAAGCCACCTCCTTCGATCCCAAACAGGCCCGAGAGAAGCCGAAAACCCTCAAGTTGTGGCAAGTAAAGCCAGGAGCAGTATTTGAGCTCAAAAAATCCCCCTCTGCCCAAAAAGTTCAGGAAAGACCGCCTAGCGCTTCAACCCTGTTAAGATCAGTGACCCACAATCCACCCCCGCCCCACAAGGAGCAAATACCGAAAAACCAAAGAGGGACAATGGACGTATTCGAATAGGACTGAGACGAAAGTAAGTAAACAGTGAGAGATTTCGAGCTGCAAAAAAGTAAGAATGAAGACAGCGAGAGAGATACAGAGACGGTGACCGAGATAGTAAGGTAGAGAGAAAATTAACAACGCCGAGTACGTGTAAAACAGGCAGTTAGTTGGCAAAGAAATGGGGAGTCGGGTGGAGGAGACAACATCATGCTTCCCACTTCCTCCTATCACCGATCTTTCGTCACTATCATTAAAAGTGCGTACACAGGTATGCATAATGTATGCAATCAGAAACAAGGTGGATATAAAAGAGAAATAGGTTGAGGGAGGGGAGCAGCGACTTTTAATAACAGGGGCCCACGCGAGCACTCATGCGGGACAATGGAATGACGTAATGTGATTCAACTTGGTAGAGGTGACAGTGGTGGATGTTGCCGGTTCAAACAACAGTGCAACAGCTAGCGCTAAACACACGTGTGGTTGAAGGATAAGAGAAGGGAGGGGTTGGGAGGAAATTATGCGTTTCCATGTATGTGCAGAGAGCTGGGAGAGCAGAAGGGGGAAGGGAAGGGGTGTGAAAGGCGGGTATTAGTAGGAGGGTCCATTGGTGGAGTAGAAACCACCGGATCCGGCAGCAGGTGGTGGCATCATTCCTGTTCCGTAGGCACCGAGCTGAGGTAAGGCCCCACCTGTCAACATCAATGGCGTATCCGTGTCTAAAAGCAAGAGAATTGAAAAAAAGAAGATAACGAAACTACTTGGGAGGAGATCCAACAACATGAAACCAAATAGAAACAGGTTTATAACGAAGGGACAAACGCTCTAAAACTCACATGGAAGCAGCCTCAGTGTCTGCAGAGGCAGGAAGGGATTTCTGTGCGCTACATCGAAACATAATTAACAACTAACTGGGATATTGGTCATGCCAGATGAATTACACACGCGTCTGTCTTATTGTGCGGCTAAGGCCTAGCGATCCTCAAGCTATGAAAGTGTTGCTGTAGACGTTTCTGCCCATCCTCACATTGCAAAATTCATGAGAACAGGTACTAGACCATATCTATTTCCCAAGGGGTAGCATGGTTTTCCGGGCACTTGAGGAACTCATTGCGTTGGTAGGTTCTAGCACACAGCGAGCCCTGTGTGCGCGCGGGTCTCATCGACTAAAGCGCGCACACACATACACACACACACACGCACAGATCGTCGGAGGCGAGGCAGCGAACTAGCATCGCGAATGGCCACCTGCGAGTGCGCCAGTAAGATAGAGGGAAGGGAAGCGACACCTGCATGACGTGCGCGTGTGTGCAGATGTCTAAGCACGCTCGAGGGGAGGGGGAATTGAGAGCCAATGTACGTGTGCGCGTGCTCTCTCCATGTTTTCTACCACAGACATTCGCCATCCATATGCACAAAGGAAGGTTACAGACTTACGCAGGACAAGAGGATTCACTGCCTGCTCCTTTTTCTCCTCCTCCTCCGAGCGAGTTCGCTCCGACCTCTCAAGGTGGTCAATCTGGATGTAAAAGGACAATACTCTGAGATGGGTTTGCCGCAACAACAAAGCTAAACGGAAACAGTCACAAGCGAACCACAGTCAGCACTGTCTGCATCATGCAGGTGACGCTAGCCCCCCACGCAGAGAGCGAGAAGGTGTATAAACTACTGCCGACAGTGTGTTCCATACACCACCGTGCACTCTACGCGTGACTGTGCACAGAGCCGCACAGTTAAGTAAGGCGGATGACAAGTTAGTTTGGAGAGCACACGCATCGCAGGTGAAACTCAGGGAAACTAAACAGACGCAATTGGAAGTACGTGAGCAAAAGTGATCACGTATGCTCCTGTGTGCTCTAGAAAATTCTGCGGATTGATCAAACACACCAAGGTAGCCGAAATTGAATGCTTGAGACCATGTATGGAAAGGTTTGCTGGGGTGACGCAACACGAACACGTGGGTAAATATCAGACTCTATGGGATTGCACACAGAAGTACCAACGGGTTAATTCATGCTACGACAAGGCTAAGAGATATTTCAGACGCGTGGGTGGGTATTACAAGAGCAGAATTAATCGAAAAATGGTACTCGTGGTTCTTACTTTGGCGGTGAGTTCACGAATGGTTTGGATGAGGAAAGGCATGGCCATATCAGTGAGTCCGTTGCGCCAGGCCAGTTCAAGAACAACGTCGGGCCGAAGTAGATCGTAACACTGGTAGAGACAGGCGGAGAAACAGTCTGGAAGGTTCTCTGAGAGGAACCAGCGCAAGAGATCCTCTGCCGTCTCGGGATCTCGAGAGTCTGCCGCATACTGCATGGCGTCCTGTACAGACGGGAAAATATTAGAAAAGAAAAACCTCTCGTTCAAAATTCGTCACAAGAAACACATTTGACCAATAAACGAAAACAGGGAACTAATGTCGGCTGCCTAGTCCCATTGGTGATGGCACAAGCATGATTAGAGTGATAAGCCCCATCGAACCTGAAGGGCGAAACTTACACGGTAGAGTTTATCACGCTTGCAAAGTTCAATACTCTGCACCCATCGATTGTTGCCCTTGTAGAGGAGAGCCGAGAGTCGACGAAACTCGGTCAGTTCGTGCTTCTCAAGGGCCTGAGCCAATGCAATGTTGTCGAAATTCGAGTGCGCCTCGATCGAATGCCGCAGAGCCTAGGGGGGAATGATGAAAAAAACTGAAGTAACTGCTAACAATTTGCAGATGACAATCAATAACAAGATGGATCAACTGACCTGATAGTCTTCCTCTTCAATGAGAAGGTTGTTCAAGGCCTCATTGACAGCCTTATTATTGGTACCACTCTGTTGAACAATGCAGAGGTAAGGCTTGACGAAGGCGATGTGTCCGACCTTGGTGAAGAAGGCGACGGTACGTGTGTGGTCGAGTCGAGGGATGAGTACGGTGAGGAGATCGTTTAGCAGGAGAGGCTTGTAGGTTAAGTAGAACTGAATGGCCTTGTAGTAGAGCTCCAAATTGGCCACCTTAGTAATCATATCTTTGAAGTGGTTTTCACGCCAAGCCTCCGTAGGATGTGCCATCATCGTCTGCACCGCGTTGTCGTACTCTTCGTAGCGATCGTAGAGGAATACCAGCTCTGCCCACAAGTGGGCCTGCTCTGCTGCTCTCAGCACCTACAGACAACGCGAAACCAGTCAGTGAATCAGAGATGGTCAACAATGGAATGCTCCATTGACGTCCGCTTCAATGGCAAATTTAATCGAAGCACCGCAACCGGATTTCCTCGTCGTTTATTATCGTCCGTAGGATATGAAAAGACAAACCTATAGGATTTGATGACATATATTTGAAAAGCACTCCATACAATCGTCAACTTAATCACACAGTGACTTTAGTAGCAGCTTTCATATAGGAACCACGCTTGTGAATAGCAGTTCTACGCAAAAAAACCAGTTCAAGTTCTATAACGTGGAATCAGTAGCAGAAACAGCTATCAGCCCTCAATGTGGTGACTAGAGTGACGAATTGAGGATTGAATGGACGGTCTGGTAGGTACAGGGAAGACGAAAGTGATGCTGGGCAGTAGACGTTAAATGCCAAATTTGGAAGCGCAATTCAACAAAGAATGAAGACAGGATGACAAACCTTGGGAATGTTGACTCGAGACCAAAAAAGTTCCAAGTGCTCACGCAGCTTCTCCTGTTTGAACTTGGAGTAGAGAATTGCCAGTTCGGTGAACATGCCCATGTGAGCACGCTCCAGTCCAAGAGCAGCCTCAAGGAGGCTGATGAGCTGTTGGAAGTGTCCACGTTGCTGGTAGTAGTTAATAAGCTCCTCCAACTCATCGGCGTGCACCACAATATGCAAACCACACATCTGCGCCAGACGAAACTCGTTGTGATCCACACAGGCGAAGCAGACCTCCTTCCACGTGCGTGTTGAATTGGCCTTCCGTGCGGCCTCCACGGCACCCTGGTACTCGCCCAAATGCACTAGAGTAATGGCTAGACGCGAGTAGTTGCTGACGTTGTTGTACAGCAGCTTCGCTGCCTCGTACATGTGCTCGTCGAAACACCTATCAGCCACCTATATGAGTACAAAAAGCAATACATGAGCCCCATAACTACATCTTAGTTGCACCCAGTTTGAATAAAGCCGAACCCGTAAAGGCAGCGGTTAACAGGAAAGGGACCAATTCAACATACCCACATTAGTGTAAAAACAAGAGGGGGAGCAATGCATTGCCATAAGCTGAAGGCGTTTACCAACTGGCAAAAAAACCTACTGCCTAAAAATGACCACACAATGATAGTTGGGTTAAAGTTACAATCTAGGAATAAGGGGTTCAATTTAAGTGAGAAGAGACACAACTACTCACAGTAGTGATATTGGCGTGATTTGATCCGGCGGTGAACTCCTCCAAATCGGAGAGACGTCCAGTTTTGGCAAAAGCGAAAGCCAATTCTGAGTCAATGGTAGTCTCGCGGGCCTTCTTGCGAGCCATCTGGAGGTAACGTACGAGATCCTCATAGTTATTAGCGGCAGAGGCGGCACGAATCACCTCGTCGTAGTTGGTGGGATCGCCGGCTTTGATATAAGAGTCAATAGCCTCCTTAATTACGCCCTCGTTCAGTTGTGCCTTAGCCAACAGGCTCCAGACGACAGGCTCGTTGCAACGCTCCGCGTATTCGTAGGCGCGGTCCAGATTTTGGATGTTGTCAATCAGTACCTAAGATTGAAAATCCGAAAAGCAAAAGTCCTTAGCCATATGCGGAAACCTACTATCCCACTTGTAAACTTATTAGTGGGAGAGGGGAAAAAACCGTTGAACAATATGTGCACAAATAAAGAAACAGAAATGCACACATTTGTCGAAAAATGGAATAATGATAAGCCCAGTAGCAATAAATACCTGCATAGCCAGATTGTTGACTTCAAACTTTTTAAAAATGGCAAAAGCCTCCTCATATAGACCGTGGGTGATAGCGATATTGGCCACATCAGGAGCATCGTAATTATCCAACTTGGCAATGTACTCCATCACCCGGCTATGATCGGCCTTGATAGCTGTCAAAATTAGCAGATTTTGAAGGTTCCGATGGTCAGAGAACACCGAGTTGTCCAGAACAATCTTCTCTAACAGTTCAATCAACTCGTTCGGCATATCGGCAGCCATGAAAGCTTTCACAGCCACAGAGATCTCGTCGGGATCCTGGGTCTCCGAGAGCGCGGTCTGCACCACCTGATCGATCAGCTGGCGGCGGAACATGTTGTTCTCACTCAGACACTCTGCCCACAGCTCGGGATCTTTTCTGCGCACGAGGTAGCGAGCCTCGGTCTTGAAGAGGGAATTCTCGTTACAGACAGCGACCAGCTCCTTGTCACAAAAACCCCGCTCATAGGCCACGCAAGCAAGGCTAGGATCACGCTTCTCGCAGTACTTGCCCACCACATAGCTATCATAGTACTGATTTTCGCGTAAAAAGCGTTCGGGGCTGTTGTTGGCGTCAATGTAGATCTTAGCGAGAGCGTTGTGCGTTGCCGGCTCGACGGAACCCTCGTGAATGCGGGATTCGAGCCAGGGTAGGAGAAGCTTAAGTCGATTGCGCTTTTCCACTTCGGCCACCAGTTCATCCGTGCTAAATTGGCCTGAAAATAAACAAATGCATGCATACATCAAATACTAATGTAAGGTTAGACGATTTAAATAGAAATTTACAGTCATAGCATTAATGCACTGCCAAAACACAGGACGTCTTTGGAGCATGGGGCTGCAAATGACGTGTAAGAAAATCCTGGGTTTCCGTAACAAAAAACACAAAACAAAACAGCAGGATAGTGAGCTTGCTACATGAGCAAAAATGCCAATGGTTTGTTTATGCACTCGATAACACCCAAGGGACTTGACAACAGCATGCTGAAATAATTTATAAGCAGAAGCTGACACACTATTCTAAGAAAGAAAACAATTCAAGCCTCAGTAATCATAGGCGTCTAAGCAATAGTGTTCCGATGTGTGTTAGAATGCGAAAGAAAGGAGAATTTTAATCGGTAGCCACTGTGCAAAACCAGGCGCATAAATTAAACATCGCCAATGTCAAAGGAACCCTGCTGCCGCTTGCAGCCAAATTACAAAAGGAAAATGACCAAACAAACCTCGGACAACAGCAATCAGCTGTTTGATGACATCATCTGCGCAGTCAACGTCAAGTAAGCCACCTACTACAACAGGCAAACGCGCTGGGTTGACTTTCTGTACGTAGATTTCGATATATTTTTGCAAATTGTTACGGTACAGATAGAGAACAAGGTCGTGCACAAAGTCGAAACGATCACAAACAATTATCAAAGGTAATTGGTCCGTAAGCTTTGCCTCCTGAAACAAAATGAGTCCATAAATAATCCGGCGAAGGGATTGCAGGAAAACGATAAAAAACATGCCTTGAGGAAATTCTTGACACGCTCAGGATCATAGCAGTTACTTTCACGACAGATTCGCTCGACCTCTTTGACCTGCCCAGTTTTGCAGGCGGCTTGAATGTACTTGAAGTGAACCTCAGGGTCCTGCGAAAAGTTGACAATGGAACCGAGGAAGTAGAAGAGACCCTCAAACGACTTAAACGACTCGAAAATTTCAATGAGCGCATTCGTGCCGAGTTGTTCGTGGTACTTGGTGGCGATCTGAACACAGACTTGCAGATTTTGACGAATATTTGCCTGCAGCATGGCTTTAAGACACTCCAGCGAGTCATCGACTGAGAGCGAGCCGAAGTACTTCACAAGCCACTCGGGACTGAGGAGATGGGTGTTGACGACGGCGCGTTTTATATCATAGAGATCGGTGTAATGCTCCAAAGCACGTTGCAAAAGACCCGCCTTTTCACAGAGCTGGGCGATAGCAGCTCGATCGTAATGGGTGAACATTTGATTACCCAAAATAGCATCAGCAACTTGAGGAGCCGACATCAAATTCATCTCAAGGAGACGGGTTTGAAGATGACCTTCCGAGGGACGATTGTGTTTCAAGGCGTCCAGAAGGAAGGAGGTACATTGTTGGACAAGACCCTGTTCCATGAAAACATCAACCACTTGTTCGAGATCGACCAAAGGCTCTTGGTCCTGCACAAGCATCTGAGCAAACTGCAGGCCTTGGTCGGGATTGATGCGAGTCAGGTTGCGCAGTAGCGAAATGTACTCCGGTGAGTAGTTGACCTTTTTGGAGTAGAGAATAATCTTCTGAAACTGACCAGTTTCCGCGAAGCACTGAACAACCTTCGGGGGCACATTTGCACGAAGGTAGACTGACAAAGCCAAGGTGGGATCAGCCTGGCGGAAGGATACAGGGAAAAATTGGCATATTCCGATACAACATTAGGGAGAAGAGGGTACCAAGTAAACTTACTTGTTTGACGAGATCGCCCAATTCCTCTGAGCATTCAAGTTTGTCTTCTTTAAGCCACTTTTCAATGAGATGTTTGCGAGCCTGCTGCAAGACGGGTCGGCAGAGCTCTAGACTCTCATACTTGTTCAGTTGGCCTTGATCGATCAGAATACCAAAGTAAAGAAACAGAGGCGATGTTTGACCTGCCGTATTCGGAACCTAGCAGGAAAGGATACGGACCAGCAATAAACACATAAAGAGACAAATGAAGAGAGAATAAACTAACCTGATGGAACTTCTGAATAGTTTGAGGCGTTCGCAAAATGCCATTTGGTGCACTGGCAGCCACTTTGGCGGCTTCACTGTACTGACCAGCCTGGAAAAGCGACTCGAACTTTTTGATGAAAAGGTCCTCTGCCCCCGGGAGGCCACATCTAGCGGCAAATCGAAAGGCGAGTGACGGGTTGTTCAGTGTCCCCTTTATGTAATTTACGACGTTTTCCTCATCAATGCTCACTGAGAGGACCTAGAAACTAGAGTAGGCAAGCAATCAACGACAAACCTGACCCTTGCGGTTAACACCCATGATGCCAGATGTCGCCTCATATGGAACAGTCACGAAGATAGTTTCATTACTGACACGATTCATGTAAATACAGGTGCCAGATTCAATGTCATAAATGTGAAGATAACCGTTTTTGGTAATGAGGAAAACAACTGCGTACTTTTGCGATGCCTTAAAAAGTAAACCAAAAGAGATTAGTTAACCCTACCTGCATGGCCACAGGGAAGTCATTGACCGCTTCCGGCGGGAAATAAACGTCAAGATTCTTTTTCGTGAAGGGTTGGTTGCCCTCGGGGGGTTGACCCACTTCAATTATGTGAAGGTTGCAAGACTGAACGGTCCTGGCAACAAAGCAGAACAATGTTGTTGGATTGGGCTGCCCCTCGCCTTTATACTGCACAAACGCAGCAGCATGACCCTCAATGGGCTGACTGACTTTACGATCAACGCTATAGAGTTGCATCGAGCCAACAACGCGATTGTCCTGGACCGAAATACCTATCAAAAGCAACCATTTGCAGCTTTCATCAGTTCGGTAATTGATGATTTGTGCGTTGGCCAGGGAAGAATGGCGGTCAAACATTTTGACGGGGGTGGAGTTTTCTAAAAATAGGAGCAATACACAAGCATTACATACCTTCAATAGACCAGTGGTAAACAGACCCAGCTGTTACCAGCGCAATGGTGTTGGGATTAATCCATTTCCAGAAAATGACAGGCTCAGGCATCTTATGCATGTTCATTTTGGTCTTGAGTTCGATATTAAAGATTTGCAGGACATTTCCAGACTTAAGGGCCATCACTTTACTGACGGGATTCATGATAATGGAATCGGCCGTGATAGGTCTTTTCGTCGGGTTGTTAGGATCATTCATGTCAATGACGACCACATATTGGTTGTCTCCAACCTTTTCACGAACACAAATGAACTTGTCGGATTCCATAGTCAATGAGTTGAATCCAATGCTAGTGGGCTGTATGCCAACATTCAGAAGCTAGCAGAAAACAAAGTTACATAGGAGTGTTGTCATATAAACGACCACCAATTAAAACAGTGCAAACGTACTTGCAAATGCTCTTGAAACTTTATAGGCATAGGCGAAGCCATTTTTGAACGCAGCGTAGGCCCCCTGCTGGAAGAGAAAACGAAAGGGACACAGTGAGGCGGAATTCACAGCTGCTCCTACGTTCCTAAATGCTATTGGTTAGCTAGGAGCTAACTGAGCATCCACGATGAATTACAACAAATCTGATATTGACCACAAGAGGCTTATGGCACACGTGCTGAGGGTAATAAATTATTATTGCTGTGTTGCAAATACACAACACGAGTTAGGGTAACGCTTCGGTATGATACACTAAAGTCCAGATACCCAAAAGCTAGGTTAATGGCTGCTGTTTGAAAGTTGGTAATCGAATAATGAATTGGTGTAACAGCTGCCTAATTTATGCCAGACGGATCAGAGGTAGTGTATTGCATCGAAAATCAGCCCCAAGTGAGACACATATCAAAGGACTTGCAATTTGTTAAATATGTCTGTTGTGTCTTAAGTGGTGGCAAGTTTAGTCTTTTCCGATAAGCTGTGTTGACATATGATTTTTGGTTTCCAGGATTGACCAAGTGAACTTTCTATTTACTGGATTAAAAAATTACTTACCAGACAAGCGCTAATGCAAATAATAATACTCAATCAAAGTTTATACTTCCAGCCTATTTTATTATAAAAAGTCAAGGGGTTCCCATAATATGAAACCAAGGATGGCTTGCATTAATGCTGAAAAAACGTGGAAGCAGGATTGCCAAAGCGTGTTGTAAGAAGAAATTTTTGGAAAAACAAAAAGTTGGTGACTGGGCATTATATACGCATTTCCCAGGTATTTTAGACCATAGATACAGCTTATTTACTGTTTTTCTTTCCACCTCTACTTTACTTCCCCGGGATGAGTAGATTGGCTGGGGGAGGATATCTTTTACTTTAATAACTTTTGTGTATATGTGTTGGTGGCATAGAGAATCAATGTGTATTTCCTCCCTGAGGAGCACTGGCGTTCGTTTATTCACAATGTTGGCTTGTGCTGCCCGCATTTCGCCTAGAAGGTGCATTCAAGCAAACACATTAAGTAGGCAAAACCTTGTAAAGAATAACAAACTTGAGAATATGAACAGAAAAATGAAAGAAGATAATTAAAGTTGGCCAATTTTTCCAAAAATTCAAACCCAAATTTAGCGGGTCAGGGTAGCTGACGGCAAATTACGTAAACTATTGTATTTTAGTAATCATGCAGCCTCCTAAGTCCTCTCTGAAGTCTTGAAGAACGTGATTAGTACAGCAGAAGGTATACTACTGACGTACAGAAGAGTTGAGGCTATCGACAGGACCCGGAGGTCATGCCACTGAGCGAAGGGAAACCCCAAGGAGATTCGGGTGTCCGCGTGATCCAACAAGGAGTGGAACAAGTCCCTGAGCAACAAAGTTGTTTCTTATATTATGCACACAGAGTAAAGCTATAGAAGTGAATAAATAGCACTGCGCAAAATGTAACAGCATACAACACAATTAAAAACAATGTAATGCGTCTTGAGTCTTTCTTCAAGGTGGAATAATTCACAATACTAGTATACAAAATGCTTCACTGACGTACAGAAGGGCTAGATAACTACTGGCTTGGCCCAGTGACCTTATTGTTATGTATAATTAAAAAGGCTGACCCTTAAGTGTCCATGGAACCCAAATGAAAAGCTAAACAAAGCATCAAAGCACTACATAATACTTCTCTATTTCTAAGCGTTGAAATGATGCTCCTCTTGGTCACCTGTCTGAGCCGAGCATCACATAGTCAGCGCTTGAGGAAAACAATCACGAAGCATCCATACTCGTTATCGAATTGCGAAAGTATAGGAAGATGTCTGACTACAACGTCACTGCCCCCTCTCGGCCATGCTACTAGGTCTACTTTGGCATTCTAATGGAGGAAGTGGGAATATGCCGGTATCACGTACGTCCACATCAAGACGTAAGAACACTGAGCTAAATGCAGTTATTTAATAAAGGAAGTAGTTTGGAATATTTTATTTGAGTTAAGGCCTAGCGTCTGCTCCTCCTTGCAACTTTATTATAGCTTAATTGCTGCCCAGCCACGTCTAAATGGCTTTTACCAGCTAGTAGTGAGGTGAGGGACACATGGCGTGCTCACCTAATCGACTTCTTCATACACGTATCGTAGAAAGTTCCGTAAGAAAAATTTCAGATGGTTCACGACCATGAACAGTGTAGTTTCAGCTGTCAATAGCATTCCTGTAGAATACAAAACTGGTGTGACTTCGGAGAAGGCCCATCATTTTTTATTTTTATCTATATAGTATCTCTTTGATGGGATGGTGGGTGAAGTATACATTATTAAATCAAAGTTTGCAATCGGCATCAACACTCACTCAAAACCGTATTTAGTAGGAATCAAGCTTCGGTTCAATGCCAAACGTGGTATTCTGATTCCGAGCTTTGAAATATTAGCAAGTGAATTGTTAGCCCATAATGCACTAGCTCCTCATTTGTATTTGGTAGTGTAACTTTGCCAACACATCGTGATAATATTTAGGCAGGTAGAACGTCTCCCTAATTTGTTATGCTTACTTGGCTTTAAAAGCATTAAACTAATTAATAAGACAGTAAATGGGAGATGACGAAAGTTGTTTGACTTTATGACAAAGTTGCCCAACTTTCAAGTTGGTGTGTCCCAATCCTTAGAATTTTGGTCACGTGGGTTCACGTGTGTTTCTTTTTCTGGTGACTTACATACCTTATTATTGCTACTTATTGCTTGTATAGAGATAGCTGCTTTTTCGTTCTCGCAGCTAAATGGGTTGTTTTTAAAAGCATTGTCTTTGAAACCAGGCCCTTCTTGGTTTTGTTTAGAGCTCCAAATTTTTCCAGCCTAATGTGTTTTTCGTCAGAGGTCTTCTATTTAATTAGTTCAGGAGGTAATTCATTGGGCTCTATCCGCCCTCTCTTATTTTGCGCCGTTGGCACTGCTCCGAATATTGCTGACTGCAATATTACTCCCTATCTAGAATGGATTCAGATACCGCAGATACCTCTGACCTCAGTACAGATCAAGTTCGCCAGCTTGTCCAAAAGGCCAATCGGAAGAACAAGAAGCGTGCTGGTGGCTTCCAGGCGATGGGCCTCAGTCAGGCCATTTTCAACGGGATCGCCCGGAAGGGTTATAAGGCCCCAACCCCGATCCAGCGGAAAGCCATTCCCGTCATCCTCTCCGGTCGTGATGTTGTTGCTATGGCACGCACCGGAAGTGGTAAAACGGCAGCGTTTCTCATTCCTTTGCTGGAAAGATTAAAGCGACACCAGGATACAGGTGCTCGGGCGCTTCTTCTAAGCCCCACGCGTGAGCTTGCTATGCAGACTCTTGCTTTCACAAAGGATGTATGTTTTTATTACTTTGTTTTGAAAGGGTATTTCATTAGTTTTGGCCATCAATACTTATAAGGTACACGCTTAATTGTCTACTTGTCAACGTTATTGCGTTCTGATTAATTAACATGTGGGAATGCAACATTTTGTACTTGGATAGTACTTACATGCAACAAAATCATTGAATGTGTTCTAGCTTTCTGTTCAAAATAATGAACACAACCTTATTTTTCATTTAAGATCGGACGATTTACAAATCTCGTTGCTGCAGTAATCGTTGGGGGCGATAAGTATGTTTGCCAATTTTCTAATTCATAACTTATTCAGAATGGATGACCAATTCATGGCAATTCACCAAAATCCCGATATGTAAGCTGCTTAATTTTGCTAGGTAACAATGATTCCGTAGAATAATCGCCACACCTGGTCGTTTACTGCATGTCATAATGGAAATGGACCTCACTCTCAAGTCCGTTGACTACGTTGTATTTGACGAAGGTGATAGGTGAGTTTATGATAATCCGCTGGAAGTCCTTAAACAAAAAATTAATACAACCTGATGTGCTTCTTTTTTTTATAGACTGTTTGAGTTGGGTTTCGCCGATCAGTTGAGGGAAACCCTTCACAGGCTGCCAACCAAACGTCAAACTCTCATCTTCTCAGCCACTCTTCCGGGTAGTCTGTTGGAGTTCGCTCAGGCTAGTCTCACAGAGCCAGCACTCATCCGACTGGATGTGGACACAAAACTGAGCAGTCAGCTCAAAATGGCTTTCATCACCTGTCTTCCGTTCGAAAAGGAGGCTCTTGTCATCCACCTCCTCCAGACCATCATTCCGGAAAAGGAGAAGGTTGTAATATTCTTCTCTACAAAACACCATGTCGACTACATGGAATTGGTAATCGTCGCCTCTTCTTTCCTTGCTATCGCTTCTTCTGAGCAAGTGATTAATTTACTGCCTGACAAAAAGGTTTTCAAAGAGATTGGAATTGATTGCACAGTGGTGCACTCGGGTTTGGATCCGGTGGCTCGCAACATGGCTGTGAGTAGTTTTCGTCATGGTCGGGTGAGGTGTCTTCTCGTAACGGATCTCGCTGCTCGTGGAATTGATGTTCCTTTGCTCGACAACGTCATCAATTTCCACTTTCCTGCTCAAGCAAAACTCTTTGTTCACCGTGTCGGTATGTTGTGCTGTGTTCAACTAAGGTCCTTGATACCTAAATGTTGGATGGATCGAACCTACTTTTTAACAAACGTAATGAGGTGGGTGTGTGGTTGTTCTGTAGCAACTCACTGGTAAAATGGCAAGTTGACATCACAAACATCACAAATGCATGTCTTTTTTTCGCCCCTATTTCGCGGAACAAATGGCGTCCGTGAATCAAATTTTACTTACTTAGGTGATTATCAGAATGGTACACCATATTCCTACCCGTATTGTGCGGTTTTTGAGAACTTAGGACTGATTCGTGAAGCGCATTTAATTGGTTTGATAGCTTCTGACTGTTACTGAAGCGCTTGGGATGTTAGACCAACAATGTTTTTTTCTGGGACTTAAATTTAGCTATTAATGTTAGTTCGGCCAACGACTGTAAACGTTGAAGACGGCTGCCTTATTGACAGTGCTGTTGATGCTCTCAGCTAAAGCCTGTGCCCTTGTGCGCCCACTTGAGAGGCTTTTGCACTGAATTTGATATTTTTATAGTGCTGCTAGCTAGTGACACAGTGATGAAGGATGAATAAGTGCCCTTAAGTAATAACGAGGACCTAATTGATGAAACTGAAAATTAGTGTCAAACGCTGAGGACAATAGTTGGTGAAGGACTTGATGATCGCGACACGAAATCTTGAATTAGGTAGCTAATATATGTGAATGAAGCATCCAGCTGCGCAAGTTACACGGGCATCGAGAAAACAATGTTAATGCGCGATTGTTAATAAAAGGAAACTTAAGTGGACAAGAATCTGTCTTTATCTGGAAAGTTATTGTATGTATTACTCGAGTGGATTTGATTCAATAGAGCTATAGTTTACTTAGCATGTTTTCTTAAATTGGCCTGAGCCCACTGTAAAAAAGGTAAAGCGGCCTGCAGTAAAGGCCGCTTCAATTTGGTAGGAACTATGGTGGAGAATGAGAAGTTTGCCGTCAGCGAAAGTTTCCTTCTTGAAAAAAACGACGACAAAGGGCTGGAGATTTAGTCGAAACTATTAAAAAAGTCAACTTTAGTTTTCTAGGTAAAAAATCCACTAAAGCATTCCCCATTTCCCCTGATAGCAGAGAAAGAGGCTTATTTGCCTTTGCACATAGGTGGGATGTGGGCGTATAAGTACGTCTACCCATTGTTGAAAAAAGTTCGTAGAAGTAGAACGACATTATATATTCGTACTGGTTTGGACGTGGACTATAAGTTGTAATGCATGCCTTGCAGGTCGAGTGGCACGCGCCGGCCGTTCAGGGATGGCCATCTCCCTGGTGGACTCTGATGAACTCCCCTATTTGATGGACCTCTTCGTCTTTCTGGGCAGGGAGGTGATCACCTCCCATGCCGCCAATTCCGTACAGCAGACTGACTCTCCCGACTGGCCAAACGAGCTGCTCGGTTCCTGTCCCCGAGATCTCATCGTTGTCGGTGTGGAGAATGTTACTAAACGGGAGGGGGAGAACGCTTCTCTGGTGGGTTGAAGGTCTCAGCTACTTATCAAATGGTCATTTATGCCCAAAGAGGCGTATCTTCTCCATTGTGGCAGCATTTTTGATGCCTGAAAGGCATTTGTTTAGACCTAGGCATTTCCTGGAATATTTAATTTTGTCAATAGATGAGTAAAATATCCTTTTAGATAGTAATAACTTGGGTTGCGTAACGTTTTATCTATATACTTCAAACTCCTTCATGGAAATGAGACTCCTTTAGTTGCCGTTTTTACACAGTGAAGGTGTCCTTTCTAATTTCTATATTACATGGACTCAGTCATCCCCCCTCTCTGTGTGCGAAACGCCAAACGTGCCTCTGTTGGTTCTCAAGTCTCTTTAATTTCTCAATACGTCAGACCAATGAATACCGTTATCAAACGGTCGTTACATTTTGGCAGCTTTAAGGTTTGGATAGTTTGAGGAAGTTGTTTTATCAGCGAGGTGCAGAGAAAAAGAGCAAAGGAACTGTCTCTGAAAGAAATTTTTACATTCACATTTTCAGTGTTTCTAGATCTTCCTCATTGTTCATGGCCCGTAGTAGACTGGTTTAAATCGTCCTTTGTGCTTTCTCTAACACGAAGACAGCTCTTCTTCCTTCCGTCACCGCTATAAACCATCTACGAAATGCTAAATGGAAAATAAATAGTTTTGCATCCCAAGTAAGACAGTGGCTCTTACAACACTTTTTTCGTTCTAAGGCTAGAATCACTTGAAGCAATCACTTTTGTCAGAGAAGTAAAGGGAGTTTAAATGGACTTAAAAATGGACGCTTTTAGTGTCTGTGTGCCTGGATCCTCTTCAAAAATCATTACACGGTGGAGATTCTAAGTATCATTCACTTCCTCCCAGACGGAAGTATGGCTATCCACTTCCTTAAGAAACTACAGCTTCACAAGATTTACCAAGTCGTTAAGTTGGTTTTGTTAACGAATTTCACGCCCGTGTGTTTAGGCTTCCGCTGCAGCAGTGTGCAAACGAGCCCTGAAGAAGTATATGGCGACCCGACCGAAGGCCAGTGCGGAGTCCGTGCGTCGGGCGAAGGATTTGCGGCTGCACATTGCCACTCTTACTCCACATCCCATCTTTGGTGAGCTGGTCGAGCAGGCTACCCTTTTTCTCCATAAGAGTTTGCTTCCATCATTTTTCTCGCGTTCTCAGCTAGTTCTGTTCAAGATTCTGAACTTACTTTTGTTTCGGCTCATTTATATCTTTGTCAGAGTAGGCTACGAAAGTGAATGACTGCAGGCACTTACGGTTTGTTGATGCATTTGCTAGTGGAATATTCGTAAGAAAGCACTCTGTGCTTATGGTTTTCAGCTATGTACGTCTTCAAAAGCTTATGCATCGGAATCCCTTCGCCGTCATTCCGATTTGACCACTTGCTTATGAACAAAAGGTAGTGGATTAGTCCAGAGAGTTGGATTATTCACAGTTGTTCATCGTAGGTGTTCAAAATAGGTGTTTAAAAATTTACGTCTGGATTAAATGAATCGGGAGAGCGAAGAATGTTATTTGTTGTCTGGCTAGCAGGATGACATTACAGAAGACCATGGATGGGGCCTTTGGGATTTGAAGTAGTCGTCATGACAATCCGGGGATCTTGCTGCAGCGGCCTGAGGCAATCTAATAGTTTGCATCTTTTATGCTTTTGACATCTGTTATTGATAGGTAATAACAGCGTTGGTACAAGCATTACCATTCATCCTATTTCTTTTTCCTCATTCACTCCAGCTACCCAACTAGCCAACGTTGACACACAAAAGGAGGCAATTTTGGAGATACTTCGTAATCGAAAATTACCTGTACGTTGTTATGAACTCTTGATTCGAATTTCCACCAGATGTCTATTTCAGTAATCATTGTTAATCACCGTCATGTTTTGAAATTTAAAAAAGCCTCAATTTGCGTCTTTCGCTTCAAATTTATAGTGCCTTGAGATTAGGCTGACCAATTCGAGGTGGAGGCTGGCTATTGAGAAAATAAGGATAGTAAATGTTCGATAAGACGCAGCAAATTAGATTGTAGCCTTGAGCTATTTTATCTGCGACGCTTCTCTTTTTCAGACAATTTTTGAGGCACTGGGCAAGAGCGCCAACCCAGAAGCCTTCAAGATGATGCAAAAGAAACGAGACATCCACGATGGCCTCATCTCCAGGACGGCCGCCGAGACAGAGGCCAAGAAGGCGAGGCTGTGTCTCGAGGAGGCAGAAAAACTGGCCAAAGCAAAAGCCTCGCAGCAAACTCGAGCCGCCGCCAATGTGCGTTGCTCCACCTTTGCCTTATATTCCCTCTACATCCGGTCGCATTTGTGCGTAAATTTGGCCAAGTGAAATTGCGATTCTGCAATCTAACTGATTTCCTTGATGAGTTACGGAGTAATTTTTTCATCTGTTTGCAACGTGAGGAGCCAAGTTCAACATTTATTCGTTTGCTATAGAAGAGGAATTTTTTTCCTAGGGACAACCTCTTTTCGCTACCTTACTAATCACGATGCAGCATAAATTCGGAAAAAAAGTTGTAAATTTTGCATGGATTTTTTGCTGTTATTTTCCGAAGGGTCTAGAATTTCTATGGCATTACGTCCATTGCTGAATTTTCCACTATTTTTAATGATAACTCACTCTGATGTATTGAGATATTGAATTTAAGTATTACGTACCCCATTCACGGTATCTTCGGAGGATTAGGTGACATCATGCATCTTCCACTTCCCCCATCAATCATGAGGCAGAGATAATGAAAAATCTGGAACAGGAATTTGGGATAGCTTTGAGAGAGCTACAGATTGGGTAATACGGAGATTTGTTAATTTTTCATCTCCCAAAAGGCAAGAATGAAGGCGTTCATTAATAGATTTCGCTCAACACGAGGAGTCATTTGATTTCAACGCTACCAGTCACCTCGAAGATTTCGACAGGCCGAACATCACCACCCCCCTTGGGTGGAATGTACTTAAGAATTCACTTGGATAATGGAAAGCTGGGTGCGATCCACCTTGAATGCGTTTGTACTGCAAAATATTTTTTTGCTTGAGAGCAAGGATCATTCAATTCAATGTGATAATCTGAGAAAGTTTCTTCTTTTATCCTCTTTTGCTACTTAAATATCTATTCGTTTTACTCTCAGCTGCCTGTGTTTCAGCACTTTTAGCAGAAACACTGTAAAAAGGCTCGCCATTTGAGAACTTAGGCAGTCATAAAATTTGCGCCATCAGACAGTCGGACCATATCTCAACGTATTTATTAGGCATCTGAACGGACTATTATACAGCGGTCATCTTACAGACCGTGGCTTGACAGGGACGCGAGTGTCCAATCAGGCCCATAACATTATCTTCATCACATATCTTTTTCCTGCCTTTTTGTAGGGTGAAATAGCGCCACCAGAAGGAAGTACTTACTTCGTACCGATAGCACGAGCAGATGAAGCAACGGAGCGGGGACTGAGTATGTCCGCCGCCGCTCTTGATGTTGGTGTTAGCAACTTTGCCATCTCTGCCGAGGCCGCTCGTCTCGACGTCCAGGGAGACGAGGTTGGTATCTCCTATGGGTGCGTAGTCTCTTCCTTCTCTCCCCTCTTCCTCAAACCATCCCCCATCTGCTCCTTCATTAGGCTTTTAAAAATCCTCTGCCACGATTAGTGACCCAAACTTCTAGCAGTAGATAGGATTTTACTGGGGTCAGTGCCTAAGTTATCTCTGAAGACGTTATTAGAGTACACGGATCAGGAAGTGGCTTTACTATAAGTACGTAGAAGGGCTGGGAGGCCAGTGGTATGGGTGGTATTATTTTCATGTCACCGACGTGTGAACCAAATCACAAGAAACTGCAAAAGCCTACATGGAGTATGAGTTCGATTTTTGATGGGGCACCATAACGATGTTTTGTCTCTGGCACTATCAAACGAGGTAATATTAACAGCATCTGTTTCAAAAACTTTGTTGGTATATCAGACGTCCAGCAGGCTCGAAAAAGGTGCTGCAAGTTTGGGATCGCAAGAGGAAGCGTTTCGTCAATCCGGAAGTCGCTACTGGCAAAGCCAACGTGGCGCGCATCAAAACGGAAAGTGGTGCCACCATTCCTGCCTCCTATAAGACCGACAAGTAAGTCACTCACCTCCCTCTCCAGTCTATATTTCATGAAATATCTATTGTTGGAATTTCATTTGCAGATACAAGATGTGGCTAAAGAAGAGCAAGGTGGATACGGAGAATTTGGGGGATCAGACACAATTGGGTGGTAGTGACGAGGCAACAAAAAAGATGTCAAAGAAGGCGAAGGCAGAACCGAGTAAACCGAAGGAGCAGTTCACTAGTTTCTTTAACGCCCGCTACGGGAGCGTGGTAGAGTTTATGGACCTGGAAGGTGATGAGAATGTGGATGGAAAATTCTTCAACCGACGCTCTGGCACGCAGTGGTCGAAGAGGAACAAAAAGGTTCAAAATGGTGACGAGACCAATAACACTGATACCCAAGACGGTAGTGGAGGTGGATTTAAGGTTGTGGGTACTATGTCTCGATGTAAGTCATTTATTTCCACCTCAAATGTCCTACTAAGGAGCTCTAACTTTTAAACTTCCTTCGATTATTTGGATTTTAGTTCATCGGAGCCTACAAAACGCTAATAAGAGAAAGACTCTGGAGGAGAACAAGGGAATAAAGCAAGCGAAGGGGAGTCGGACCTTTGGCCAGATGCGGAAACCTGAACAAATTCTCAAGCAGCGGCGTCGAAAGGAAAGGCAAAATCAATTCAGGCTGAAGAATAAGGCTAAGAAGGGTGGTAGTGGAAAGGGCAAGAAGAAACACAGGCGCTAGAGTTTTCCGCGTGTGTATGTACATATCATGGAAGCACTTCTAAACTGAATATTGTAAAGTGTACTTATTGAGTTGACACGTTTCGAGTTAGAACTGTGGGCAAAGATGAGTTACGTTAAGTGATAGTCTTGTAATCATCATTACATTTCTTTGTTCACCAATTTGAAATACGGGCCTGATTTTTGCTTAGCCTTTCGAGGCGATTTCCTCTAGTTGTTACTATCCCTTGAAGTTGTTGAATCTAACTCTTTTTCGCGCAAGTAGTTTTCTTGTACAGACGAATTTCGAAGTACCAAAAATTGGTTTTCAATAGCGGGACTTTTTTTAGCAAAGAGCAAGTTGTATTAAACACTTCAATGTGCTTATGTTAATGTACCATTTAAGCCATCCACAGGGGTATAGTAAAGCACAGGCTTAAAGTAGCTGTTTTCGAAGGGCGTAAAGGTTTGGCGGCTACCAGTCGAGGTGTCTTGGGCAAGGCTTATTAGCAAAAGCGAATTGTTGTAGGAGGTTATTTTCGGAACTTTTTGAAGAATACTGTGTAGACAACTGGAACCCTTAATTCATATTGCACGACAAAGCTTTAGGGGCACTTTTTCTGGAGGATGGAATTTCGTCCCCTAGAAAGTTCGTTTTCAGCGTCACGTAAATGTGACCACGATTTAACCAAACACGCCTGTCACATAAATGTAGTACCTTTAGTTGAAGGGAAATGAATTAGGCCGGATAAAAATAAAGTGGACAGATGGCGCAGGCTTGGAAGAATGGGGTGTTTGGTTTGTAATAGGCAATTTTCCCCGAGGCTCGAAAATGAAGGTTATTTGATAATAGAAATGGAGACAGCTCAAATAGATGGTGGGTAGCGAGAATGAACATAAGTGATGTATGAATGTATATTTTAGGTATTTAAACTAAAACTACGTTTAAAATGGAACCATTCGGTTTGTTCCCTGTTCGAACTTGATGCAACCTGTTCCGCTAGCGTCCTGGAGACAAGCAAATATTAGTTAAGGCATTCCAAGAAAACAGTTTCTAGTTTATAATGCGATTAAATGGAGCAGAATAGACTGTCTTTTATAAGCATTGTAAGTATGTGTAAGCTTTATTACCTTTCGCATCATATACTTCAAAACAGCCTACCGTATGGTGCATTTGCTTTCGATTAAATTGGAAGGTTATTTTGGAATCTTTTTAGCGTTTTTTTAGCGCCTTCCCGTCTAGCTGCGTTCCAATATGGTCTTAAGGGACTCTGAGATCTCTTAACCACGGCACTAACATTGTTTTGAAATGTTGACAGCGAAGCGCCTTGCTTTGGTAGGGGAGTTACATAACTCCTGATGAAGGAGTTGCAAGGTAAAGTCAACGGCGAAATGCAAAACTATGATAAAAAGGAAAGTATTAGCGATGATGAATGCGAGTGGTCTATTTCACTTACGATTTGAGCATACTCATCAACCGTAGATATCCAACGATTATCGGGACGAGTGATGGGGAGAAAAGTTAAACCCTAAGCAATGAAATAAAGTTTTCACAGACTTTCCAATTAATCGTTTCGAGGAACTGAGGAGTATGCGGGATAGCGGTACTGATATTAATTTTCACAACCTTGTGCCCATGATCACTGTAGGCAGAGAGGAAATCGTTGATGAGCTCTGAAAGTTTCTAAGAAATATGAAATAAGAGTTTTCCTCACGTTGTATTTAAGAGGTTTGAACATGAGATCCGATCGCCGACTCAGTCCAACAGCACCAAAACGCCCGCGGCAACAAACACCCAAAACGACGTGACTGTACCTATTTTCGCCTTGTGTGGATTTAAATGATATGGCGAATCGCTGCAACTCCACGCATTTGCGTGTCAAATATCTAGATTTGGATAAAGCTGTGGGAAGAAAATGGCGGACATACATTGCCAAGATAACAGCTTCAAGGCACTTTATGGGTAGGGCTTCCTTTATCATGGTTTGTGCGATCACCTCCAACCTAGACTTAATTTCGAATTGCCAAAAATTCACCTCCTTATTGGTTTGGATTTTGGTATAGCGTAAAACTGTGTTCCTATGAAGTTATATCTGATCAGTCAGGGAGATAAATGGATCTCGAGATAATTCTTACATAGTGATTAAAAGGCGCACACAGGCGTTTTAGGGATATAATTCTGGCGTTAGTGTTTTCCACAAATGGAAAAAAATTCAGAATGTGGTAAGGTTGCAAGCAAAGGATACTCCAAAGAGGAAAGATATGACTGAATTGCGTCCAGCTTGTCCGCAGTCGATTCATTACATAGCAATTTCCTTGGTGGCTTAGGATATGGCTATCCAGCCATAATAACTTAGCCCTTTATGATAATTTTACGTTACCTGTTTCATAGGAAAACACAGAGCCAAATCTAATACTTTTTGTTCCAGGTTGGGATAACAATCTATGCAAAATTGAAGCATCCTTGCCCATGTACTTTGCCCTAACGGAAATCCACCAGAATTAACCAAAAACCGTCTTTTCTTATCTCCAGGAATAGACGAGACTTCCATTTAAGAATATGTGGCCATACGCGCGAAATATATTAATGTTTTTGAGCAGTGAAACAGCAGCTATATTTCCTAGTAGCGTGACGCGAAAACAGAGGTGAGGTAGTGAAATACGCGCGTCAATACCCATCTCTGAACGCGGCTAATTCCTTCCTTCCCGATATCTGATTTGGGCGATTGAGAATTACCTAAACAAACTTAGCTAACAACCAGATTGTTTTACTGACATTTTCGACTAATTTTAAACCTTTTAGCATGGGATAGAGATAAGGAAAATAGTGGAGGGATTTTGTCCTAAGTGAACTGAGTGAGATTAGAACAGTAGTTTAATATGTACAAAAAAGTGTGGTATTTATAGCTCAAATACCCATAAGCAATGGACTGTGACAGTTCAGAGTAAAATATCAGAGACTGTCAGGGGGACTGTTAAGTTCAGTGGCATGTTAAAGGAAGCAAACTAATAAAAGAACACAAATCAATAAATACTGCAAAGTAGGTATATTCTAAGGATTGAATAAAATAAACTTGTTACCCTAGGCAAGGAACTTTTAATGTGATAAATGTGCTACTCCTTTACCCTTTTTAAATGCGTGTCTTTTTAGGCACTTAAATGCAAAATATCACTAAAATGATATATGGGGTTGTTTTATTGTGCACCATTTTACATCGAATGTCATTGGTGTTCGTTTAAGCTAATTAACATAAGGTCACACATTGGCAGTGGAATTTCGAAACAAGCAGGAATTTGGTGAGTAGGAGCGCGTGGTGCTACTTAATGACCAGCATCCCCTTTTTGTACTGGTCTATAATTTCCAATTACTACAGTACGTATTTTTGAGCGGTATCCTTATTTTAAAATATCGTGCCTCGAGTTGCTCTTATCAAGAGTTGGGATATTTTGGATATTCTTTTTCGTGACCATGCAAGCCTAATGGCCTTGGAACTAAATTTTTCGAAAACGGTGAGTAATTATTAGCTTTTTCAAAATGATTGGTAACGTTTACTTAATTTTTCAAATGGCTACAATGCTTCTAAAACTATCTCAGTATTTAAGGTTCGGATTTAACTGTGATTTTTGAAAACAAGGCAAATCTTCAGTTTTTACTTTTGCAGGCACTTTACCATCAATTTTCATAACCTATTTTTTGTTTTTATGTAGTTAACTGAAAATATAATAGCATAGACCCAATAGTGCCTATGCCAACTCATAAGCCTTTGGCATTTTTTAAGGCAAATTTGATTTGCAAAAGGAATTTTCGCGTGTCAGTTTACTTTAAACAACTATAGTACCTGTAAATCTCTCTTGATGATATTTTAGTAGACGATACAGTTTTGATGCGGTCCGTCTGGGCTGCAATAAATGCGATCACGTGCTAATATTTTGAATAATTCTGACTTGAATCTGATGTGTTACAGGACTTCCGTATTTTCAATTGCTGCAGGTTGGAAATGTTACAGGGTGTTTGTTTAAGTGACTACAAAATTTGGATGCTTTGATTTACAAAAATGTATTGCTACGCATGTGCGTGTGGCGCAGTAATCAGTGTTTTAATTTGTAATTTTGCTTTGTTCGTGCTTACCATAAAAATATGGATGCAAATTAACAGTGGAGAGCTCCATAGAAACACTAAATCCCTTTTTTAAAGAACTCAACATCTTCATGCTCATAGTCTGTGTTTTGCCGCTAAATGTCTTCGCAATAGTAAAGTAAATTGCCACTTTCATAAAGTGCAGACTTGAATATTTTGAGTGCTTTTATGACGAAGTTGCAAATTGTGCATTATATGAGCTTACTACCAGGACAAAGGTTTTTTATTAGCTTTAAGGTCAAGAAGAATAACAGTTATTAATTGTGCTTTAATTACGCTCATAGTCTTAAATAATTATTATAGCCGTATTGGCTTTACCCTAATCATAATCGTCGACAGCAAAAGCCAGGAAATCTTAACGTATCCATGGGTAGTTTAAGCAGATGAGGTGTAAAACGCCCAGTTTGCCATTTTACGGAAAGGTTACCGCGGGTATCACACTCATCCACGTTGCATGAGCCGCAGCGGTCCCTCACCAAATGTATTTTTGGCGCTGCAGAATGGCGTAGTTCTGTCTCCGCAACTACTCATTCCACTTCCAGCGCTCTTGAGAAGTTGGAAAATTTCACAGACAATTCATGCTTGCGGCAAAAAGATCAGAAAAGTTTCGTGGTGGATAATAAGACCTTTCAATGTCACTATGAGTGAAGATGTATTTTTGTTTACTTAAGAATGAGAGAAGTAAATGCCAGTATGAAGGAGAAAGCGAAGGAGGAAGCACAAGCTAGAATAAAGGCTGACGGGATTTGCTACTGTGTGAAAATGGACTTTTGGCAGCTTTCCGCTAGATGTAGTAGTTTGTTATTAAGTTCACTGTATCAGAGATCTAGTATTGTGTTTTTTTGGCCGTTTTTACCAGTGCACTAACTTAACCAAAACACGCTAAATCTCAAGAGACTAATTAAACAGTTAAATAAAACTCATTCGAGCAAACCTTGATTGCATCAAAAATAATTCTAACTGGCAAAGCCTATGCAACTGTTAGTCAGAATTTTTAGATTACATAAAGTGAATTCAGTAGCAATAATGCTTCTTTAAGGTCGCTAAAGTGTGTACATTTATTGTTATCTTGTTTAAACTGCAAAATCGTGAGGTGGAAGTGGAAAGGACAGGGTTTTCTCAGGTTCAGCAATGCGTACTTTAAAAAAGGTGAATTTCAAAAGCAAGTTTAGGTAGTCAGTCCAAGGTTCTGTTGCCGTTGCCTATTTAAAAGCACATACTAAGATTATGTGAAAGATTAACTTTTAAATGTAATAGTTCGCTCCACATTTTTGATAGAAAAATGTCCAGTATACCGAGGCTTTATGTATCTTCTTTATTTCATAAGGTGAAAAATATCCATAATATTTTGGACTTGCCATTCTCTCAGTGTCATTCCATCGGCTCCTTTGAACATTGAATTTCGTTTAATGGAATACCTCTAAGGTGTGACATGCTTGAGGCATCTACTTAACAGTTCTCAGTAATATGTTTGGGACTTTGTAATGGGTCAGCTAAAAACATAAACCGTAGGTGTTTCAAGTCGGCTTTGAGCACTAGCCTGCTAAACTAGGATCGTCAATTAGCAACAATCGCGAAATCCTTTCTGTAGACACTGATTCTGATTATAATTCTAGAGACATTGTCTGTGACATCTCTAAGTTGAAGAACAGAAAATTGTTATAAATAAATGATTAGAAAGACTGCAAAAGTATGCCTTATTATTTGATACGCTGTTTAGACGAATGTCCAATATTGCTAGACTATTAGCCGACAAGGGAGCCTTACCGAGCATTTTGTGAATCAGTAATGGGATAAGATAACAATTGTTCTGATTTTTTCAGCAAAAGATATCAAGAGAAACGCTCGAGTTTCATGTCCTAAATGTTTTTAACGTTGAGATATAATCTAATAAGTGTCATCCTCCCGGAATGCAAATAACATGTTGCGCATTCTCGAGATAGGATAATCTGCATTAAGAAGTAGGTTATTTTTTAGCATGTCATTTCAAAGTTACGGAGACTTTCCTATACTACAGTGTATTCAATGGTAGAAATTGACTATCATTAAAACACTTCAAAATTTGATCCACACTGTGTTGCTATACCTTGCAAAGATATGAAGACGCTGCCTTTATGTTTGCAGAATGACACTTACTTGATAGATGACGGTACTAGAAAGCGCAGCTATAATGGCAGCTTTTTATCATGGTAATTATAAAGGAGACACCAATAGAGGGAGAGAAAGCTGTAGCACTCACGCTTTAAACCTTTAGATAGTGGAAAGGTTTACATGGAAACACGAAGGTGATAAAATGTCAGACAGGGTAAATGGCATTTGCAATGCAGCACAGCATTGCTGCCGAGTCACTGTACTGCCGATTTTCTGCTTGGCGGATAATCAAATAAGGCGTGGTAATGCAGTCCCGACGGAACAGGCCGTCTGAGTACACCTAGAGGCGATATACTCATTAAATTATGCATGTTAAAATGGCAGTATAAAACGGCTAACGAGGTGGAATTTTGACAAAGCTAAAACCATTTACATTACTTTCAACTTTGTGAGGAAGCCCATTACCGAAAGCAGGTTCTACTGCTTGCAAGTTTGATATAATTAGTGGGAAAACTTTGGAGTCCAAAAAACCACCCAGAAGTAATGAGTTTATTGCATTGGATGTCATTTTAAACGAGAAATTGCTTACATTGTACCAACCTTATAATGTCAAGTTTTACTCAGGTTTGTCTTATCATTGGTGCATGTGATTTTGTAAGTGGTCATCTATTAAGGTCAGAACTAAATATAGAGGTGCGAAACGAATTTTCGGTACAATTTAGTTTCACCAGATAAAGCTCTTAAAGACAAGTATACTTCCTAAGGTCAGTGGAAGAGTAATCTGCCTCATCACAAAAATCTAATAAGTTAGCATCTCGGAGTCTGTTATGTAGGCTCCATAACCACATCATTGTCAGCATCGCATTGATAAAGGGGGACAAAGTGGTAGTGCATGCATTTCCCGCTAGCCTATAGATGATCTCTCTTATCAAGTCTGATACAAGGGCCTAAATTACCGGTTCCCTTATATGCATTATCACCAAGGAATCCACGCCACTTAGTAATAGGAGAATGATTTGGTAACAATGCTACCAAAAGTGTCTCTGTTCTTCGACATTGCTTGATTTCTGAAGGGCATTCATTCGAGAAATTGAGTATGAGACAATTGGGAATTCCAGCCACGGTGGAAGAAATTTGCACTAAAAATAGTCTATTTCTCTCCTCCATGACTGATTCGGTTGCTTTGATAAAAATAATTAGTACATTTCCTATTCCCCCACTAGGTCTGTTCTGTTTCCTTTCTTTTCCTCTTACGACGGAGCGATTACAACAATTTCATGCCTTCTCCACACGATTTCAGCAATTGAGATTCTACGATTGCATCATTCTAGCGTTTTCTTTATTCTTTTCCCTTTAATTGAAACACTTAATCGAGATCTGTCACCTTAGTAAACTACAGCCTGCAACAGTTCTTTGAGTGCTTATAATGTCTAAAAATAACAAGATAGAAGGTTCGGTGTAGACCCACGTGAAAAATATAAAAGCACGAGGAAAATAACTCACGCGTTGTTAAAGTTCCTACTACTAGCGATAATACTAATGAAAGGACCACATAATAATTTGTTTCCTTGTATAAAACTGTGCTCGAGTTTGCTAGTCTTGACAAAAGCAACGAATCCCTCTGTTTTTTTTCATTGAAACTAACGAAACAAATCATGTGGATGCCTAGCAGGAACAAATAAAAGAAATATTTAAAATGCACCTCAGGAATGTTTCCATGCATTGATCTAAGAAAAACAAAGGAGGCATCTTGGGCATTTTAAGTTAAATTACACACATTTTTCGTCGCCCCACAATATAGGGGGATAATGTAAATCCCCCTTAGTGGATATTAAATCGAAATGAATTTTTAATGCTACTTTGGAGGAGAGTCTAGTTTTACAACCAACATCGCATAGACCCACGATGTTTCGGATTCATCAAATCGGAAAGCATGATAACAAAAATGGTCTTTTTTCTTCTCGTATGTTTCACTCCTGTAAGCACACCCAGAGCCGAGGAGTAACCAGAACAAAGACGTGTTCAATCCGCTTCTCCCTCCACAAGGCTACCATCATGATGCGAAGTTATTGTGGCTAAAACCTGACGTTTCGGTATTCCACCGAGATCTCCCCATATTTTTCAGACACCCATACGCATTCTCCTTGAAGGTTTCACTTGGCACCAACGGTCGCCGACACCACCACCACCAGTAGTCGTAGCACAGCAAAATGTCAGATTTGTTCGGAAGGCAGGGAGCCATAAAAACTGTGTGTATTCTGCCGCTGTGGCTTTATTAAGCAACTTACATTCTAGTTGTTGCGCAAAATTTGATGTTTACCCGAAAAAAGAAGAGACCTAGAGATTGTGTCCATGTCTCTTCGTGAACAGCTAGGATTGCAAAAGCTTCTAAGGATGTAGGAATGTCCGGCGTAAATATCGTCAGCTATCAACAGGAAGATTGACCAACTTTTCGACCTTTTCGAGAAATTTTTCGCCTTCAAAAAATTTTGTTCTGTTAAATTTAACCTTTAAGTAGCTCTTGACTGCTTGGATTTCCTGAATGAGTGAGCTGTTGCCAAAGCTCATGTTAGTATCAAATTTGTTGCTAGATCAGCTCGCACAAAGAGAACCAAGTGTCGAGCTATTTCCGCCAATGTCTGACATTTTCGTAATGGTCCACTAAATGTCCTTATAGTTTGGAAATGGCAGAGACCACCCAGTAACTTCTCATTATCCATTGTCATGACAGAGAAATTGGCACGGAGTTGGGTTAAACGAAATGCTAGAGAATTTTCCCAAAAGTTAATCAGTTAATCCCTAGAACCACCTATGCTTTCTTGGAATAAAAAGCACCAATGCTGTGTCTATTTCCTTAAAAAAATACAATGATTTGAGGGTAAGCTAAAAAGTGCTACAACATCAGGTTTGCACATTCTTATTATTTGTGTGGTCGTCCTGCCTCAAACGCGATTCCGTAACGCGAGAAAACATAACTTAGAATTCCAAAGTACAAAAACGTCGTTTTCTCTACTATGGCTAAATCTGGGAGCAAATATGCCCTTGCTACACTTAGGTGTAGCTTTTCTAGCCTAGCTGGGAGGCATTAGAACACAAACAAAGGGGAGGAGATGCAGAATTCACTGAGATTCCCACTTTAGTAGAATAACAAGACGCGATTACAATATATGAAGACAAATTTGGTCAATTTTAAATCCAGGCGCAAATGACAATTTCTGGCCATTAGTCTAGGGGATCCTTTCTGATGGCAATACAACAAGCACATAATTATCGAAAGAAAAGTTGTTTGACCAAGTTTTACCATTAATCAAACAGATTTTTTAATTGACAGTCAACGAACTAAAGGAGCAACATTGACCCAACTGTCGTGGCACTCAATGGCTTATGCTTGAAGGCTTGAAATCGACAACTAAATGATAGTCTTCTAAAACAACAAAGTCGAATTATGGTCCCACAGGTGGCATTATTTCTGAGAGAAGAAGGAGCTTTGTCCCAAATGCCCGTTTCCAACAATGAATAACCTCAACTTTGTTGCGCAGTCAGACTCCTTTAGGTTATTGAAATAGAACAACTCGAAACACTTTCTGGAGAGTCATCTTCCTTTCCTTATACTGGGCTCTTTCCCTTCTTGAAGTATTTTTTTCCATGGGTGCTGATTTACTGAAGCCCCAACTGAGAGAGAGGCTTTGTTATTTCTTCACAATTATTAGTATGGATATAGTCTTACGGCCACTGGCGCTGTCTCCAACGGATGTTATTTTTTCTGCGGAAACACATCTAATCAGAATGCTGATCTTTGGGAAATGTTACATGCAGTTTTCGATTCCCTGCATGAACAGAATAAGGTGGAACAAAAGTGCAGCAGCGCTATCGACGGCCAAATCGGCTTCATATTACCTGGGGAGCTGGGAGTTAAACACTCAGTTGTTGCCTGTGAATAGGAGACATGAGTCCCTATTTTCACTGACTCCAGGAGGGCTACTAATGAGAAGTAAAACGTGTTTCACTAGAAGGCAGAAATTCAGCATCATACCACTTCAACGTCTTTAATATTAATCCCAACAATTTTGGGAATTTTATTACGGAAACTCTTTGCATGAAATTCAGGGGAAAGCAACTCCATATTTTTGTCTGCAAATGTAGCGTGAGGTGAAAACTTGTTTTTGCAGGAGAAAACATGCCATGCATAGTCTCATGAAGGAAAACAGGTCAAATTCTCTGGGGATAATAAAGTTTTTTTAGGCCATTAGGAGGTCATGAGTTAGAGCTGTGAAGCTGATGGATGTGACCCCACAGCTGCAATTTTCCAATGATAAAAATTTTACCCTTAAAATTAGACATAAACCCAGTTGTTTTGGAGTCGTAAAAGGTAATTAAGCTGAATTCGGTTTTTTTTCTTGCATAGATGTAATGTACACAAAAATTTTGGTTAGATTAGAGGCAAAGAAAGTAGTAACTATCCCAAAGGATGACTACTAAGTTACATGGGCGAATCTCGGAAAATTTTTTGAGCATAAAAAGGGGGGAAAGGTACAAAACCACAGACTGGGAGCCAAAGTACTTAAAATGCTTGAATTAGTGGGAAAGCACCAATGGTCTCAATGGAACCTTCACTCCTTTAAATAATTTGTCAATTTTTTAATGAACACAAGTGAGGGGAGATTGCAATCTAGGGTGAGCGATTGTTTGATGGACCCAAGCCTCAGCTTCCATGCATTCGTCCGTTTAATTTTTACACACACCATGAAATGTCGCCTTCTACCCACAAACAAGTTTAATTTGTTCGTACCTTAGACAGTTCTTTTTTCTAAATAAGCATTAAACATTTAATTAGTCCCTACGTCTTAGCTAATGAATGTTCTTTTCCAAGTCATAATTTAGGCCGGCGTTCAAAATGAGCATCAGATGAGTCCAATTAAGTTGCCTCACTGGTGATGGCTCAAGAATGCCGACTACTTCGTGCGCAAGTTACTGTTAAAGGAGAGCAATGTGGTGCTATAAAGTTGACTCGAATAGAGAGAATATCACCAGAGTAACAAAGAGCCAAGCCAGTAGAACAAAAGTTGTCACTCCTATCTGGCGCATTCGCTTTATAAAAAACAAAAACAAAAGGTACACTGATGATTGCCCACATTTTTCATCGCCCCAACTCTGCTTTATGTGGGGGAGTCGATTTCCAGTTTATCTCGGCTCGAGTCGTAAATGTCGAGTTCCCATCTCCTTTCATTTTACAGTCTATAAATAGCAATGCACTTGATATATCCGCCACGTATGTGCATGTATGTGTTTCAGTCGCCTTCATCGTCAAATGCCGACGGCTCCCCTCCCTCACCTGCACCAGCACGGATCACGCTAAATTACTGTTTAAGAAAAAATGTTCCCCAAACAGTGGCTTGACTAGAGCAACAACAGTGATTTGATTAAAAAAGCACAATATTCTGTCGCAGTAGTCTTTCCTCTTATTTTGGTTCTATTTTTGGTTAGTTTCTAATAGGTGAGTGCATATCTCTGGTTGCCAATCGAAAGTGTCTGTGACAACTTACGTCGAATGAGGCATTTTCCAAGTACCGTTGGCATATATGCACATTTAAAGGTGTACTCTAGAGTGTAGTGGCGGTTGGGACAATTTTACTTAATTTATAAAAACCTCAAATTAAAGTGAAGGTGTCATTTGAGCCTAATTCAAAGCCCCTCCTAATGGAATGCCGCAAATGCTGTTAGTGCCGTTTCTAAGAAAAGATATAAATATTCCATTTGGGGGCAGTACAGTTAAAAAACTCTTGTTCCAGAGCTGGATAATGCTTCCAGTAGCAGTGCATAAATGTATAATACTGTTAGTTTAAGTATCCTCCTGAACTCGGCTACTGATTGGGGCGACAGCCATCTTTCTGTAACACTAAATTATACGTCTGAAATGGAGAATAGTTGCTGATGCTGTTGATTGCTTCTAATGTTTTTTGATGCTGTCTGTCATATAGTCAAGTAGGGTCCAATATCCCTCACATCTTGTTCCCGTGGTGAATCACTCCTAAACATTACAATGCACCTAATTGAAGGAAGCTTTTGCCCTATTTCGGGAAATCAAGCGCACTAAATGGGGAAGGAGGGGAAAAATCAAAACTACTGCTGCATCGTAATTTTGAATGGTTAGACGGCACGAAGAGAGGCATATGTAAACTCTACTTTTGGAGTTGTTGATGCGCCGAATAGTGGAGTCAAGGCGACACTTTTCTAGTTAAGGAGCATAAAGAACATGAAGAAGCTAATTGTACAACAAACAGATTATGAATTCATTTTCTTTTCATACACCTTGACGAATGTGTAACGCAGAATATGACAAACAAACAAATTGTGTACGAGGAAATACATCCACAATTGTTCACTCGTCACAAAGTAAACGAGATTTGCTAGAATGAACGGGAGGAAAAGCCGAAATGTGGTGAACGGTGGGTGATCTTGTGAAGCAGACATGAGTGAAATCAAGGGATTCTAGATGACTTAGAAGTGTTGGATCTTGTAATGCCTTCCATTTGGTTTTATCTCAGTAAATTCTTCTTACATGACGTCAATACCAAGTCCAATTTCACAAGACAACTTTGATGGGTACTTTGTTGACAGTTTTCGACCATGAGTACTTTGTAAAAAGCCGCAGGATCAAGAGTTTAGGACTGCATTAAGGAATATCTTGTTACTCTACACCCATTTTACTCTTTCTGGCCTACTAAAATTCTCGAAATAACCGAGAAATCCTTTTTGAAAATAAATTTAAGAGAAGTTGGCAGCTTTGTATCAAGGAGAGGTAACTGTCCGTTCAGCTGTCACTTTCTCACAACTCAGTCATAGATCCAGTTGACTTGAAGTCCCAAACTCGTGAATTTGTGAATACTCTAGAGTACAGACTGGCTTTTAGAAGAAATAGATTAAGTTCACAAAAATATGGACTTTTAATAGGGTAAAACCAACAAAAAATAACTATTTTTAACCGTTATATTATCGGGATTCTCAAATTGCATTCTTTTTAAATATTTTAGAAAGTCCAAGTCGATGATTTCAACCTAAACGTGCTCCACGGAATTGCGTAACTCAGGGATTGGGTAAGGCAAAAGTACTTTTCCTTCCCTACAATGGCTTTTAATTATTCTTTTGAGCCCTATTTTTTGGTATTCTTTTAACGTTAGTAATACCAAAAACTCACAACATATCATGGAACCTTAAGTTAATTTGTATCTAGTCGGGCGATTATCACCAGTTGATGTTTTGGCATCACCGCCGGCCACTAACCGAAGGTAGTTTATTGCTCTTCAGTCTATGCATAAAAGAGGGATTAAACTTCTAGACAATCAGGTGTACCGAAATAATTACTTTTTATTACAGAGGAGCAGTATATTCTTACATCTCAGCGCACGCCATTATGGTCTATAAAAGAACGACGTAATGGAGCTTTATGTCCCTGAAATTTCCATATTTTTGCGCATTAAACGGGGGCCCCACCCATTTTCCTTGTTCGCTCAGATTCGCCCATTTATCGCCAAGTGCTTCCTTCAGCATAGTCGAGAGCTTGAGGTTGTTGATATTGGGAGCCGATTAAAAAAGAGAAAAATGTTTAAAATCACTCTGAGAGCCACTCATAGACATGGCCGGAAGGGTTTTATTGGAGGCAAGTCGGTAAACATTAAAATCATGCTAAAAAAACAAGAGTCCGGGGATAAACCAGACAGTAGGAGTAGCATTTTTAATTTTTACTAGAAAACAAATAAGTCGGCTAGGGAAATTGCGTTGTGGTCGTGACAAATTGGCCTTAATGCTGATTACATGGTTAATAAACGCGATACTGATCTTCCTACTGGAATTAAATTTGGAGAGTACTTTGGTAGTAAACTAATTATTTCCACAGAATCCTTATTTCTAATGGAAATTAAAAACTTCCTTTGCATTGTGATTAATAATAGGTGAAAATCAAATTTTTAGCTTTATTTTAAGCAAGAATTTTGCTTTTATTAATTAATTAAGCGGAGTTTTCATCCAAAATATCATCAACTAATTCAGTCAATTTTCTGCCCCACACCAAACCGTCTTACTTATTAAATAAAAATTTTCTTCTGTGTTCCTTTTGTTTAGAACCATGCGTGGCATCATCGGGTAAAAATTTACCTGCCTATTTTGTGTTTAAACCCAAAATTGGCTGCGTTTTGCACACCTTACTGCAGTCCTCTCGGACTCCGTGTTTGAAAAGGTTACGCAGTGCTCCAAATCGTCCCAAAGACATAATACTAGGGCAGAATAACTATTGCTGACGTACAGAAGGGCGGGGGTTTGCTACCCCGAGGGCCATGCCGCTCAGTGGAAATATAATCGTGGAGCCCTCATTATTCGTAAAATTAAAAAGAAGAATTAAACAAACAATCAGTGCATTACAGTGAAGTATTACAACAGGCTCAAACATATCGTGGATAAATGGGATCTTGAAAGCCTAGCTACTTCTTATAGAATGCGTAGTGGTGCATGCCTTACCTAAGTGCAGGCTGGTTTCGTTATGGCTCGAAAGCGACCGCCGTCTCTTTTGCCTTTGAGTATGCCAGCATCCAGGTAGGTGCCTGATAATGGTGTTAGTCAAATATCAATGGCAAAAAAACTTACCCGGGAAAAAGAAGCTTGCATTACCAATGCCCACATACAGCCCAAATTACCAGTCCACATAAATAATGCATGCTTTTTTGTCGTACAAAACAATTCGTCTGTCAGAAAATAATGCTACATGCTTCTGGCTACAAATGAATGGATAAAGGCGTGCTATTGTCACCATCAAAATATGCTAAAATCAGCACCCTCCATCCAGAAGGGTTGACATTTACGGTTGATGTCAGCAAAATCTCAACATATAAAGTAAAAAAAGCTCCGGACATTTTGTAAATGCAGGTAATGAATGCCACAAGTAGGAGAAAAGGTTATAATGTGCAAAACTTCAGGCTCAAACAAGGCTGGCGTTTCTGCACTATCAACATGGCATTTCGTCCTACTGTTTACTTCAACTTCAAAGCATAAATGGAAAAATTTTCTGGGGAAAAAGGATTAAATTCTTTAATTTCTTCCATTTTCCACCTCATTTTTGGGGTGGTACGAGGTGGCGAAGTGAGTTTTTCGAGGCCTACCTGTCAGATTGCATTTATCACTGTCTTTAGGAGTCAACAATTGACATAACTCAATCGTCTGTCGTGTGGACCTTGCTCGTTCGCCTGGTTTTTCTCTAAAAAAGTAGCTATCCCACTTTGTTAGTCTAAGTAGCCTCTACTCAAACGGACAATTTGTAATTAGCAACCAATTAGGGACCGACTAACTTTGATTACGGACAAAACCAAGAATTACATTACCGCCCTGAATTGCATCCGTCTTTCGTACATACAGACGTTCAAGGGAATTTCGATGGATCCAAGTCAAAGTGCATTCAATTCAAATGTTGCGATTACAAACTGGGGGAAAGGAAGCAACCGAATATTGATGGAAGAAAAGCTATTGAGATTTTCTACCCAAATTGCCCAAAAGTCCATTGACTTCCCCTTGAGGTAGTCGCAAAATACAAAGTATCCTGGTAACGGCTGATGAAATAGCAATAACTAACAAAGTCGGACGAGATAGAGGCATCGCAGACTAAAATGAGTTTCTTACTACAATCTCTCGGTGCTAATTGCATTGGACATCGTACTCAACCTCGAAATCGTCGGTACTCATTAACTTTGAAGAGGAAGATTGTTTTTAGCGATTTCTCCAAACATCACCTCCTTGCTGCGATTTAGTGTTCCTGCATTTCTGTGCAGCATTTTCGGAAACCAAGTCGTCTTTATTAACTATGACACGGGTGTGGCCTAACCTACTGGACTCGAAATTAAAGTTGGTGGGAGAATTTGCTACTTTTGCCAACGTGAAAATGTAACGTCAAATTTATAAAACCATGGGCTTCTGAATCTGTGAATTTAACTATGCGCATATTTAGAAATAGAGACGGAGGTGATGGTATTATCTGAAGAGCAATCAAGATTGCTGAGTAGGCGCAATACAGAAATTTGGCACATTGTTACAGTCTGAAGTTCTTTCCCAAAAAAAGTTCAGTTTTCAACATCTCGGTAAACAAGTGGCATTTTTAACGGACGACTCTTTAATCATCCGTTTTTTGTTCTTTTAAATCCCGGGGCATCAACAACGTCACTCAAATTGCGGTGAAACGGGATAATTTTTATTGTATATTATAACATTTGCTGATGACACTTCTTGTGAATCAGAGGTGGATAAATATGAATTAACCGAGGCGGATATATATCATTCAGTTTTCATGACGGTGAATGCTTTTTTGGGTAAAATAGAGGGTACCTGTGAAATGAACATTAAATTTGCGTGAGTCTCGGTCATTTGGAAAGAGGATTTTTAATTCCCCGTTTCCGCTAGTACTTAAGCTCCCCGTTGGTCAAAGTTAACGCGACTTTTAAACCAACATTGTTTGACATTTTGACTCCTTCCGTTGTCGCAGAGCGTATAAAAGTAGCATAAATTTTATGTACATTATTTAAGTTATCTACGGTAAATTATCAGTTATGTGATAAATAACTGCCGCTACTTAGATCCAATGCTGAACTGTGGCTCTCGAGACTTTCCTGAAGAAGAAAGAAGACATAATACTTGGGCAGGATATGTATTGACATAGAAGAGGGCTGGGGGCTACTGGGACTGAAGTGGAAGTCCCCACTGTCCTTGAAACCAAAACGGAGAGTTAAACAAATGCCCAAAGTATTCCAAAATTATATGCTACTCCACTCATCTGGTGATTAGGTTTAAAAGGGTTATGGGTGACGACGCTCTCAGTGGACATTAACTTTTGCAGAAGAAATGACACGCAGTCATCCAGAGCGCTGATGCATTCGGTTTTTCGGTCTTCTCTGCCTTGGGCAATGAGCTCGTCTTTGTCGTTTTCTGCTCTGAAGTGGATGCTTACATAGGAGGAAGAGGAGCAGAACTTGCCCGTTTTTAATAATTGGAATCAGCTTTATTTGAATTTTCAGGTATTTTTGTGTTTCGATTCGCATAGAATTGCCTCTTTTTTGCCCATACCTTCTGTTATCAGTCTCTTGGTAATTATTGCTTTGGAGCCAACAGTTTTATTTGAAATAAGATCCAAAGTTAGTGCTGAAAAAAAGAGCTTTTATTGAACACCAACTGGTGGTTTTTTTTCAGCAACGCCTCATCCACCCCACAAACTTGGAAGATTTGGCGTTTTGGTGATGTTTCATGCATCACATGATACAATGGCCTGGACCGAGCTAAATAACTAGCAGTGAATCAAAGAAACTCCCAACTCCTAATACTGGATGAAGCACTGAATAGGCCACTTCATAATGGTAGAAGCTCCTGCGATTTAGAGATGCAAGCATTAAGAGGGGAAAAATGGATCATGCAGTGCAGTGAAATATGGTAGAATGAGAGGTGGCGTCTTGATTGCACTTTCCAAGGTGGAAGTTGAATGCTATTTAGAAATGGGGATAACATTTGGTCCTGGGAAAAAACTTTGCTTCGGCGTATCTCTGCGACTCATCGTTGACTCCTTGCAGTGTCTCGTCTCCTCGTTCTCCCGTTCTAAGTACTGCCGTGGCTGAATCCGATGTTGCCTAGGTGATAAGACTCCAAAAAACATCGTAAAATTTATGAAAAGTATGCGCATATATTTGGGTGCGTTTAAGTGTGATAGGAAAGTGTGATTTCATTTTTATGTGCCGCCAGTCGTAAAAATATAGTCTTCTTAGTTCTACCTACCTCCAACGCAAACTTGACCACTCAGAATGCCATAAATGCCCCTTTATTCACTCTTTTCCTAAGCATCGTGATTAAAAAGTGAGGTTGAGTCACTTCTAACCAACTTCTCTCCATTGATACATCTAAGTTGTATTAACAACGGACAATAATACACGGACGTTGATGTGTTATCAACATTGATTATTGATCGAAAAATCAAACAGTAGTATCCTAATTGATTAATGGTTAAAAGTAAAAGACTACCCTGTTCTCAAAAGCTATACGTGATGTAAATAAAAATTCGTTTTTTTAAAAAAATGAGTCGAGATCTTTTCTACTGTTTAAAAATATATACTTCAACCAATGCAAATTAGAAATTGTTTATTGACTGCCGCAAGTGATGAGATCATCATATTAGACATACTTTTAACTTCTCTAGAACAGTAAAGGGAAAAAAATTTTGCTGAAGTACATTTTTACCATGTTCATCAAGTGCGAGTAATTATCAAGTAAGCTGAAAAAAATTAAACCACGCGTTTTTTTTTCTCCTCGTTAATTATACAAAATGTGGGTCTGCCTTAGTGCCCCGACTTTACTGCCTTCTTTCCCCAATAAACAATAAAATGGTGGAATTTTATTGACAAGGCTTTGAATAAATTCAAATAACCAAATGATAATTGAGTCCATTAGCTCCGCAGTTTATTATCCCGGTAATGGAAGAGAAGAAATGGTTCTGGTTAATGTGATGAGAGGATCGACGGGCATTGAAACCACCACATTCAATAACAAATTTTATGGAGTCATTAAAAATGCATTAAAGTGAGAAAAAGTTTCGCTTTTTTTCCTAACCTTTGAGGCCTTCCATTTCCCTTCTGCGATTTTAGAATGAAATTTTGGAAAAAACAACCCAGATTATTCTGGGTTAAATTTGATGCAACTCGAATAAAGACTGAAATTTTAAGTGTCCTTGTAGAGAAACGTCCATTCCAAACGAGTTTTATGAATAGGCAAATTTTTGATGTGATGGTATGCTATTCAGACAAAACATTTCATGTTAGAAATATATATTTTCATAATTGAGGGTTTAGTACTACTAAAAGTCAATGAAAAAACCCTTTATTGATGGGAATTGGGATGGGTAAACCCTAATAATCTCGAAGAACAAGTTGGTTACTTTAGAGCTGTTACAGTGGTGAAGGAGTTAGTAGTTAGCCTTAAACAGTACGGCTATTTGGACTAATAGGAGTAAACGAGATTTTTCCTCGCTCCCCTTTATGCGAGAAACTTAGTGGGGATGTAGTTACTACAGGTCTCTGGTGTCACATCGAGCACCTATTGCCATAAAAATACTGTATTATATGGCGATGGTTACGAGTGGCTCATTTTATTAATTTTGCCGAGGATGTCAATTTGTGTTGAAAAATTTTCGCATCAAATATTCCTATCTCGTTATGTACAGGATGACAGAGTTATGCTGGAAAGTTGTCAAAACTGGGCGACTTTGTCCCCAAGAAATTTGCATGTTTCCAAACACTCAGACTAGTGATATTTGAAATGGGCTAAAAAAGGAGTGATTTACTCAAAGCAAATAAACATGGTCCATAATTTCCTTAATTCGACTTACTACATGGGGACAACAAATACGCAGAGAATAAATCCTTTCTACGTAAGCAGCATGTCCGCATCAGTAGGTGATTGAACTTGCTTAGCAGCGTTTCCCATTAAAAAAATCACTCAAAACTCCGTGAATGGGCATTTTTTGATCGTGAGACAAGTTATCAGTTCAATTCGGTTGCATTAAATATTCACCACCACAGTTTGCTAATTTTGGTGCTCATACAAAATCAGGTCCAATACATTTAGCATAAGGTTAGGGAAATTCCGCATTTTATAAAACCCTCTTTAAAAATGTTCGGATATGCTTCGTCATGTATCCATAAGACCTTTACTATCTTACCACTATGGGCACGCAGCTCAAAATGAATTCGGTGCTTTTTCTACTTGATATGATATGCAGGTTCCACAGGACCTACCTCTTGGGTAAAAGTATACTAAGTGTACAAAAGCTAATTAGCTTCTGCAAAAAAGCCATTTGTCATTTCTCTGTGCGTCTTGCCAGTAATTGCATCGGTCTCTTTTGTTCTCTATAGACTACCACTCCCTCAATTAGGCCCTTATCTTGGTAAAAAAATGAATTGAATGACAAATTAAGAACACATGAGAGGGACAAATGGTGGGCAAATCGAATGAACTCTCCCCACCCCTCCAGCACTAGGAACAGTTTGTTACATTCACAAATGCCCAATTCATTGGCCGCCTTCGGAAGCCAAATTAGCAAAATGTACATTTTATTACCACCTAACCATTTAATTAAATGCACATGTAGGGGTTATATGAGGCAAATCCTATTTTCCTGATTTGATTTGGCCTAAAATTTATGGTCCAAGTGTGGTCGGAGGCGATTGTAGGCCTTCAAATATGAGGCCTTTAAATGGCAAGCGTTGTCGGTCAGTTAAAAGTGGTAAATTAAGGTCTTTGTTTGATAGTCTACTGCGTTTTGTGTATGGTCTTCTATAAATAACCCTTGCCCGTTTAAATTATTTACAGCGATTTGATCTGTTCACTGTCATTAGAACACGTAGTGGATGATTCCGCTCATGGTTTAGGAAACAATTCACTAAAAAGCTTCTCCTATTACTATGCCTCCCTAAATTGAGGCAAATAAGTGTACATTTTAAACCAGGCACAATCCTTACTCACGGCTTCAAATGCCGCTTATTTTCTTACAAATATCTGCTTCAAGAAACTAATTTGGCACTGCGAGAAGTAAGACTTTTGTTGCCCAGATTTTTCAATTTTATTTGATTAAAAGTGAAATTTTTTTACTAATTAAACGTTCGAAGAAAAGTCCTAACTCTATTTTGAGGTCTCCAGAGAAGGAAATACTTTATCACATAACCGAAAGCGGTATTAATGGATAACCAACGTGTTGATTTGTTTCATTTGTGTGCACACTCGCAGGGCCGGTAATGGTATACTTGCAAAACTTGTCAAAATTTCAGTATTACATTACCAATTTTTCTGGGAGAGTAATCATCTGAAGAGATTCTCTGTCTGCATTAATTTCACTATTTTGCGACAACTATTGGGGGAACACACAACCATTGCTTGGCCTAAAAGATTTCTCTAAACATAGGGTCTGCAACTTAAAGCTTTTCGTGTAAATTATATCTTTTAATTCTATAGACTCAGTCATACCACAAATTAAGCACGACTTTCAATAGTAAGCTACGTTTTATCCAAATCAAAGCAACCCAATGAAGCTTAGTGTCCTCGTTTTACCTCTCCTTGAAGCATTATTCAAAGAATCATTTCAATTTTGTTTTTATCGTAGCCCTTATGAGGGCATTTGTGAGCCTCGTAGGCAATTGAAAAAGTTGCATAAACTGTCAAAGCCCGAAAGAATGCAGAGCCGTGCTTCGAATACTCTCTGTCGTTTTGGTCTGCCAAATGTCACTCATCCAACCCTGCATTTCTTTTCTTCGCCACAAATCATACCACAAGCATGATGAATTAAAAGGGGGAAAATTTATTCAAACTCGGGTAGTAAGTCGTTTTGAAGTTGCTTAGCATCTCCATTTTATCGGTGGTGCATCGGCTTACTTTCAACTATGGATTTGGGATGGACAAAAAGACGAATTTTGTCTTAAATGAGATTTTCATTGGTTACCTGTATCACATCCTTTGTATTTGAAAAGTTAAACTGGACCAAACCAAATATTAAGTTTATCTGGCTTCAAACATATCAGAACTGCTTAAAGTCGGAAGTGAAAGTGGCAGATTCATTGTCCAGCTGTGAAATTCAGCGGGCACAGGAAAGGGAAGCCCCAATAACAAAACGCTTAAGGATATCACTTACAAGTGGCAGACCGCGTTTAAAACTTTTATTGGGTTTAAAACTACAAATAATTGGTATTTTCTGAATAAATCACTTGAAAACTATTGAACTTAAACACCGTATGCGGCCGTAAACCCCCATCAAACAAATTAGTTTGTTTTCGAGGATACGACCCATCGTAATGACGAATGCTCTCGATTGAGCACGTAGGAAGACTGTAATGAAACAAAAAAAATAAAACATTTTATGATAAGGGACGATATATTCCCATAAAATGATTAGTATGAGCAACAGTAATGAGGAGAATGAAGTGCCATCTGCTTTTGCGACCTCCTGTCATATATTTTTCGTATAGCATTATTATTTTTAAATACTATGCCTTACTCAGGTAGTCATTTTAATTCATGAAAAAAACTTACTTGCGATAAAATTTCGCTTGACAAATGAAAAGTCACGTACCACAGGAAGCAATTTAGAGATTACTAAAATCGACTGTTGCACCCCTCATTTTTTTCTAGAGCCGTAGTAAGATTTGGGTGGGTGTGAATTTGGGTTGAGTCTGTGGAAAAAATGAAGTGCCTACATCACGGCGACTGGATTTAAACAAATACCACCTTAATGCACACCTTTATTCCTCCTTTGAGTGGCATCTCTAGCATTTCTCTTAGCGGGCATTCTACTGTATTGTCCCAAGTCCTTCCTGAACTCGAAGGTAATCAACAGACGAAGACAGAAAATGTTTGGCCAACTTACAGAACGGCCAGTGAGATTACTGGCACGGTCCGGAGACCATGCCGTCTAGTGGAAGTACAAAGAGGGAGTATTAAACAGATAATTAAAGTATTACATTGCTTTGGTCATAACCGATTGATGTCAACCGCGGGAAGGATTTAAAGATGGCATAATGCATCCGCATCAGAAGGTGAATGCCATTTGTTAGTGGTAGAACACATTACACATGTGGTTCACCCATGCATGGTAAATTGTATCAAAGAAGTGGCCATTTGGGAGACGGTGCTAAGGGCTTCGGCGAAACCGATTTTACTTCTTCAGCGGTCAGTGTTGTAAAAAAAAGTGAGGCTATTTCGTTCCTCCTGTGGTATTTATCACATATCTCCCCACTGTGACATTTGAGTTTAATAATTAGTTTACGGAAAAAAGGGTTTTCAGCTTTTGTTTCAAAGTGGCTTTTACCACAGATTTTCTCCATAACCGCCCCAAGGCATGCTAACAGAGTAGTTTGGCGTTTAGAAGGTATCAGGAGGCCATAGATACTAATTTAACTTACAGAGGCTGAAGGGCTCACTTCGTTAGACATATATTTTAACAAATGTCAGTTATTTTTGTCATCTATTCAGGAGATCTTACACGCATTAAATATACCAACGTTCATGAATGCCTATTGGATGGTAATACTGTTTAAATAGAAGCACTACCCCAGGTTGGGTGGTTCATTTTGCCATTAACGTCATCCATGTGAAGGTAGATGGTGTGAATGACAGAAAGGAAATTCTCAAGGGTTGAAACAGCTTTTTAACGCTAATGTTACGATTTATGAGAGAACAAAATAAATTATACCATCACTTCTGGGTTTCCTATGCAAGACTTTTAATTAATTTAAATCTTTTCCTGTAATCTTTAAAAAAGGCCATGATGGGAAATATGTGTTCGTAAATCATTCTGTCAAATTTGGTAAAAAACTGATTTGTGGGTTTAATATGTAATGCGGAAATGGGGAGTGAATTTGGATATAATTTTCTGCGAGGTATATTGGAGGAACAATGGAAATGGTTCGTGGTCAGTGCGTGGGAATAACTCACCTTTTTTATCCAGAAGATGGGGACAACTAAAATTGAATAAAATAATTTGCTCATTTCATTCACTTTACACACTGCATTGTTGGTTGGTAGCAATTAAAGTGGCTTGACGAAGACGCCCCAGGCAACTTCTTTGGTAAGTTGTGGTTCTAATGAAAGGTCGGCTAACACCCTCTTGCACCCCCTTTATGGAGGCTGCGCATAACTAGGCCTTTAAAATCCTTATGTGACGCTTGCCTTCTAAACTTACTGAAAGTACAAATAGGTCAAAGTTTATTTTAGAGAGAAATAAACCTCTTGGCATATTAGGAAATTCAACTAAGTCGTTGCGGTGAGTCACATCCATTCCTTTTTTTTTATGACTTTCAAAGTGAATTAAGCCAGAGGACCAACCCAGAACTCAGTAGCCTCTTGTTTCATTGCGTCCCTTAAAAAGTAATCACTTTCAACTGTCTTTACTTTAGAGAAACTTCATGAACTACTGATTTTAAAGCGGACTTCGGGAAGCTGGAGTTAACGAGATTGACCAGATTCATGCATGAGTACCACCAGCGCTCCAATTGAAATGAAAGTGGCACAAGTTCCCACGTCTACCGTTGAAAGATTTTGCTATTCATAAAGATAATCGCTCTTAACATAAATAATAAGTGGTATTTATGACTACCCAATTATCCCCCAAATGACTAAATATGACTATAATGTGGGAGGTAGGAAAGCACCTAATGCCACTCCGAATTTTAGACGGCACAAAGCAGTTCAAAGATAACCTAACTTCATTTGCAGCTGTAATTCACGCAATAGCCTACTTTTGAGATACTACAGAAGCATCAAAAGGGTTTTCACTAGCGCCTTTTTTCTCTAAAACTACTATCCTACAATTGGATAAATGACAAAGTTATCTGTTATGTTATCTTTATTCCCAGTGATTTATGGAATGCCAACCCCTTTCCCTAGCCTCAGCTGTCCCTTCCCAAATTCACACTGTCAAAATAAGTGCTACTTGTTATCTGCATGCAGCAAATACTGAAGCCTCGGAGGTAGCCACTCTCTTTCGACTTGCACAACCTACTGACTTATTTAATTCTTTCGTAAATTTGCATTATTTCTAGCTTACTTATTGGTACGTGCTTTAGCAAGTTCAGGGTAAAGAAACAGCTACTTAATTAATCAAACAAGGTTACTTTTAAGACACCAAGGCAAAAACTACATTCCATAATTTTTCCATGACAAAAACACTTTCCGTCTGGTAATAAAAGTCTTCTTTTGCTAATTGTCTGTTATTATTGCAAAAATTGTGTATGAATTTCCACGACCAACATGAAGTTCACCTGGATATACGGATAGGAGTATAGAAAAATGCTTATTTTTCCACCAATCATGTGACATTTACCCAGAAAGGTTAATTCAAAGTCAAATGTCAGTATTGGGAGTGCTAACGTGTCAAAATGGAAGTGAATTTGGCAAAACTCAGGACTTTATAATTGTAATTAGCCTGATTGCAGCGCAGGCAGAAACAAGAGGGTTGGCGATTGTTTAAGATTTGATCCTTTTACAAACATCATTTAAAGTGAAAATTTCTCCCCTCAAGGACGGCATCGTAGCGCATTAATCTTCCTACAATCAGTGCTAAAATACACGAGGCGTGATAAATTTGCTTTAGCAAATGTATTTGTAGAGATTTCATAACTTATATTCCATTGTTAATCGGCAGAGATTGTAAATTTTATTTACCTGAAGAGAAAATTCAAATATATTTTAAAGTAGACCAAATGTGAGTTTCTATTTTTTGAAAAGAATAGGGAATTTGTATTTTTAAATCCTTGAATAATTTTTCTTTCACACAAATCAATTTTTGAAAGAACTCGATTCCTGCTTAAGTGACAGACAGACTGTCCTTGGGCCGATCAGTTAACTGACAGGAAGCACTATGCTTCTCCGAGATCCTCAAGAGAACTCTAGGGTTGAAAAGTATTTCCAAGACCCTGGGCTTATCTTCTTAAATACCCCTTGTCATTTTTACCATAACTTTAGCCAAGATAATGTAGTACCCTAGATTTTTCTTGAAGTCAGGAAAAGGAAAAATACATGGGCTAAATTTGCACTGCCGACGTACTGAAGGGCCAGGCCTACTAGCATGGCTCGGAGGTCAGGCGACTTGGCAGAGATGTAGTGACGGAACCCTAAGTGATCTGTTACCATAACGAAGAGTTAAACCAAATATCAATCAATCGGATTTGCATGTGGACGATTGTTGACTGCCCCATGATCTCGGCCGATCGTCGCTTCAGGAAAACAAATTACGGAAGAGTACTTCGACGCGCATCTAAAAATGTCCATTCAGTCCTTTCACGCACTATCATTAGATGAACCGCTTCCATAATCATAATCCATGACACTTCATAGTGGCTCACTTGACTGTTACTTTACTGGGTTTTTAGGTTATTTTGGATTCTGGAAAGTTTCAGTTTGAAGAGAATTAGGTCTCATTGTGAGGCATTATCTTGATATCTTGAGGAATATTGTCCTCGAAGACACATAATGTTTTGAAGATCTTATAATGTATAATCAAATTTTGCCACATACTAAATTATAAGTATATTCACACTACGTAACTATAACAGTGTGAGTTGAATAGAGGCAATGCATCAAGCAGAAACTGATGATTGCTGAAAAGTGGATGGGGAAAATAGGTAATGTTTCTTCCATCAAACTTAATATTATATTAATATTATTATAGACTTTAATAATACGTTTACTGCCAGGGTTTACCGTGAGCTAGATGTTTTACAACCTCTATATGACACTGATTGTCGTTAATTTTCTGACAGATTGCACAGTTAGTTTAAAACCAAAAATTTATTTATTCTTACACCGAGAACATTCAGCCTCTGTTTTATGTTCCATTCACAACCAATCTGTTTGCCGCGCCACTTGATACGACCGGTTACCATCACACGCTGAAAACTGCAAGCCACATACTGGCGACGGTAAACTCGGATAAGTAAAATGAGGTGCTGCACATATACGAAGATGCCAGGGACGGTGATAAAGGTCCAAAAATTGGAAAATATCACTGGATTTTACATAATTAAATCTATGTAATTCCGTTACTCATTAAAGGTAAAATATGCCCTTTGCTGAGCATTTGTAGCAGTGAGAATAGTCTCAAGTCTAAAGCCTGATAACCTCAAAAAATGTTAACCTTTATAAAAAATGGTATACTTGCAATCTAGGAAATGTGTTCTTTCACAGGGACCGGATGAATCACACCTTGCAGATGTCCAAACCCACTTGGCAATCATTTGGCACAATAAAACATCCTTGGTCCAAAAAATTGCTTGTGCACTCCTACACATTTTCAACTTTTTAAAGCTTCTGATGAAGGCAGAAAACCCTGTTATCTAATCTATTTGTTTGAGGGTATGACTATAACGGGAACAATGCCCGAATAGGCATAGTTAAAATCAACTCAAAAATTGAGTTTAGACAGACCAGTCTGCCTTGATTACAGGGGCTATCAAATTTTGCAATGTATTTTACAAATGTTAACTCCTGTTACCCTTTTAGCAAACTTTTGCGGTAAATGGAATCACCCCTCTCAAAGTCAACTCAACAACACGTAAATTGTCTTTACGAGTTTTACCGAATTCAACAGCGCAAACGTAGCAGCAGACATCGAGGCAGTCGCTATGCAAGGCCCAGATGAGGCTTCAAAGAGTAAATATCTCAACTTCCTCTGCCGAAATTCTCCGATTCTGTATTCACCTACTGCTGTCGCTGTTTCTGCTGCCACTCCTTGCCATCAGTACCCCCGGTACCTTTGAAAGAGAAGACCTCTCTGTTAAGTTTTCCCTGGGCGACGAAACGCCGGCGAGTTTTTTCATCGGAAATATCCTTAAACAGACATCTCGACTAGACTTTCGTCCCAGCACCGCTAGTGTTACTGCCACCACCAAAAACCTAAAGATGCGCGCTACTCTGCTAGACACCACAAGAGGTCTGGCCTCTCGTCTATTGCATCTCAGTGATATGGGCGACCTTTACACCATCAATACTATTGACAGGGATGATGTAACGAGTATCTGTGGGCCTCTGGAATGTTGTGCACAGCCCCAATGCAATCTGACATTTACAGCTGTCTTTATGCACGTCGAAAGTCCCGACGACCCTATCACAGTGGCTGTGAATGTGCAGCTGATTGATACTAATGACAATCCACCCACTTTCCAGGACCAACAGTTTTCTATAACAATTCCAGAGACAACATCACTGGATTTGGCCAAAGGCCAAACTGGTATAAATGGTGAGTACAGCTTGCCAAGAGCTTTCGACAAGGATTCGATGGCAAATGGAGTGAAAAAGTACTATCTAGAGGGACACTCCGACTACTTTACCCTTACTTCACCAGAACACGAGTGTTATCCTTGTTTAAAGGTGAGCAGTGTAGTACTGCTGGATTATGAAAACCCGAAACATCGCCGATTCACTCTCGAATTGGTAGCCATTGACGGCGGCACAATTCCAAAATCGGGTTCTGTTATTATAAATATCTTTCTGGCGGATCTCAATGACAATGCTCCGGTTTTTGCTCAACCAAGTGAAGTGATTCGAGTGAGAGAGAATCATACCTACAATCAAGCAATCTACACAATTCGAGCAACAGATGCCGACTATGGTGCCAACGGGAGGGTGCGATATCAATTCAAAACACAACATTCCACATTAAAGCAAAAGACCTTTGTTCTCAATCCAGACACGGGTGAACTCTTTATGGAATCAGCGTTGGATTATGAAAAGTTTTCGGAACGAAAAATTGTACTCGAAATTCTCGCATATGACGACGGTCGGCCTGCACTAACATCATCATTCTCATTGACTGTTGTGGTGATCGATGTAAATGATAATTCGCCAGAAGTTGTGGTCCAACAGAATCACACAATCATAGAGAATGGTGAAGCAAATATGCCAGCGCTGCAGCTGTTGATTACAGATGTTGATGAGGTGAGCCAAGGTATGATTGAATGCTACCTGGAGAACCATGAACGTCTTCCTCTACGTCTGGAAGGCCAGACATTTCTGACCGTATGGACGACACGACAATTAGACTACGAAAAGACAGCCTTCTTGGATTTCAATCTCGTCTGCCTGGACAATGCAGATCCACCGCGGAATACGACTCTACCACTGACGATAAAAGTTGGAAACTTGAATGACAACCCTCCCGTATTTTATTCATCACAAAAAACCCCGATAAGTTTAATTGAACTGACACTGAATGAAAATGAGAGGATTTTGCGGCCTGTGTATCTGCCAACCGTAGCTGACGTCGATGGTAGTTCAGTAAGTTTCAGCATGATTTCCAAGGAAAAGGACAGTCCTTTTACCGTGAAATCTGATAGCGGTGCAATTTACCTAAAATCACCTCTCGATTATGAAACCTCCAAGTATCACGAATTTGAAATTCTAGCCATGGATGTTCCTGAGGCAGGCTCTAATGAACCGGCCCTCACGTCCTCAGTAAAAGTCCATGTAAAAGTCAAGGATGTGAACGATAATGCGCCGGAACTAAAGAGCTCCTCCATAATTCCGGTAAAGCCCGATGTACCAGCTGGATATATGGTTTCGCAACTAACATTTAAAGATGCAGATGGTGATGGACAACAAGAGGTATCAACTAAACTCATTGCACAGGAGACCTTTCCGAAACTCAAGAGGAAAAGGTATTTCGCACTAAAGGAAAATGGCGCCCTTATCACACTTTCTCCACTCGATGGGGAGGAACTTTCCGTCATTGCGTTAACTGTAGTGGCCACGGACATTGACAGTGGTAATCAACTTTCATCAACGGTTACTGTAGCGGTGGTTGTAGAAAACCCTGGTATTGCAGAAACTCTGAGAGTAGTCCGGCCCTTTCCGGGTTCAACAATAATATTGCCCGTGAAAAAGATCCCTACTCGACTTCTTAAATCAGAGAGCCTCCGAGGTATCAATATCCCTTTTGAGGCATATGACAGCGCCAAGAGCAAGAAGCTTGTTTTTACCGTTGACAGAAGATGCAATGGGTCAGAATTCTTCAAGATTGATCAAAACCAAACGTCCATTATCAAACCCATCCTTACCGATGCAACCTTAAGCAAACTGAGTAGTATTCCTTCCGGCAGTAGACTGGAGGTCATTCTCAGGGTTACCGATACCAAGGAACCCACCCGTACAGCAGAATCTAGTTTCTTTGTCGAGTTCGACTGGGCTCCCAAAATGTCAAGCCACACCTTGTGGCCTGCAGACGCGGCGGATGCCGAAGCTGACGACCAAAATGACATCAGCGGAGATGGTAGTTGGTTGAGCTCTACAGACAATGTTCCTACTGGTAATCAAGACGGTGGGAGACCGTTTAAACTTAGCCTAGGGAACATTGTGGTGTTTCTGCTCATTCTTGTGTTCAGTCTGGCAGTTGGATTTGCACTCTTTGCTGCAATTCTTTGGGCTCGAGCAAAACGCGCAACATCTAACGCGGCCGTTACAGCAGTTGCTGTTAGAAGAAGTCAATCCCCCATCGTAGCAAACTCAAGTAGTGGCGGCAAATTCAAGAGATCCTCACACAAACAGAGCTCAATTTGGCGACCAGGTGACACAAATTCCATCGTGGCTAGTGAGCGCCTTCAACTAACTTCCACGTGCACAGAACAGCCGTCCGAAGTGCATTATGCCATCCTGACATCGAATGGTGGCACAGTTCTGGGAGAATTAAGCAAGACCACTGAGGCATCGGGCAGCTCCGGGGGGCCGGTTTTGGCATATTTTGATTTAATCGTTCCACCAACCACCGAAGACCAGAGAGCAGTTCAGCAAAACTTTCCTACCCTCATCACTGCGGTTGGTGTGGCTTCAACAAATCCTGAAAATCCACCTTCGTCCACACCACCCGTGAACTGTTACTTGGTCATGTAAGAAAGTTCTGTGCCCTGCTTCCCCTCCTCTTCTCCTCTAATTCACCTTCTTACTAAACACCATTTGTAAATTGTGCTCATAATATCGGGTGTAGAAATTGCACAAAACAGACATCTGTATTCAATTTTATCCTTTAAACATGCCATTTGTTTATGCTTCTTGGGGTCATTTATGACGAGTGACTAGGGCGATTTGTGTAAACAGAACGAAAGTTGTTTGTTGATGCACTTGATGGTGACCCACATTTAGTATACACAACTTTTCACTTAACCTAGAAGGTGTTCATTAGCAGATGATCGTATCCATGACAATTTTGGACCAGATTTAGCATTTGCAATGGAAGTACTTGCGTTCAGTTATCTTTATTCAGTAGACAATAGTTCACTAATATAAAACTAAAAAAACGATAAGACGGGATGAGATAAAAGTCTAGCTTACAAAACTAGTTCGGTGGCTCTCTCCTCTTCTCGTTTTAAAACAGGTTTTTAATCATTTGACTCACTTTAAAGATCGCCTAGATAAGTCAGCAGACTTATACCTACGAAAGTAAAAACAAGTAGTTTTCAAATCTCATTCCGCTCCCAAGCTAAGTAGTGTTTTGGCAATTGCTTGTATTCAAGACCAAAATAAAATTTCTTTCAAGCCATGCACAAAGTAACAAACTAGTCCGATCTGAAAATACTATGCTAGCCAGTGTAAAAATCTGCTCTTTTGTGCCTCTCCATTCCCAAAGCTGATATGCCCATATTTTGTCTAGACAGTGACGAATATTGCTCGTGATTTTCAAGCTGCTATTGCAGTCAATTTAAACATTACCCACATTCACTGGCTTCTAATCTGGTTTACAATAAATCCAGAAACTTTTTGATGCCTTTAAGCAGGTAAATTTACCTGGAGGGTGATGGTAGGCAGTCTCGGTTTCTTCTCTGTGGGATTTTATGCCCAAACTCCAAATATTTTAAAATTTGCGCATTTATTAAGTGAAGAGCGCTCCTTAAAGACAAGTATTCGCAGAATTTGTAGATCTATATTCTTTGTTAAAATACTAGGACTTATTTAAAAAAGGAAGTTATACTGAATTCAATTTAAGCGTCTGTACAAGGCCTTTAAATTCTTACATTTGTTACGAAGGAAATGCCGACTCAAACCAAAGTACCTTACAATTTGGTATTGTTCGACACTGCTTTTGGTTTTGAAGTACAGCAAAGAATAACGAGGATGACTAGAGGGCAAGAAATTGGTCCGCTGTCTCCAACTCAGATTGATACACAAAGCATGAGCTAGTCAACACGTGAATCAATCCACATCCACGGTGAGACCAATACCTTTTCAGAATTTGCCTTAAAGCAGAGAATTACTTTTTGAGGGATGTGAATATCCTTTCAGGTAGATTCCTTACATAAAGGCACATTTTCTGGCATTTATGCATAATGTCATTTAGTTGCATTTACATCTGTCTCTGTAGCAACATAAATATTGCACGAAAAAGCAGCGTTTGTGCTTCCTAGGTTGATATGTTAAGCGAAGAGATTTGGGCACAAGTGCAGTTTCATTGAGGTAAGTGGGGCTGAAATACTGCTGCTATAGGAATGGTGCTCATCGCAAAGAAGTTCAATGCATTTAGAAGAGAGATGTCCTATCTAAGAAATGAAAAGTGAATTCCTCACTGTTATGTTGACCTAAAGCTGCTCAATTCTTCTTCACCAATCAGAAAATTTAAGTTGCCATCTAGTGTTGGTGTATCGTAAGTTTGAGTTGATTCTAGCCTCCTAGTCTTGACTTCTTTTTGCTCTCCTGAATGGACTTAAATGTGCAAGATTTTGCTCAAAAATTAGGCATTCTGTTTTAGTTTGGCAAAAATAAAACGATTCAAAATGTGCACTCAATTCTTTGTAATGATAGTCCTGTCACATTCTATTAGAAAATTCCAACAGGTGTCAATAGATGCTAATAAGGATTTTTAAAAGTTAAGACACAAGTCACAGCAAGACATGGCAACGCATTCTCAAATCTAATGTTGAAGCCAAGTGCCAATGTGATTTCTTCGCCTCAAAAGCAAATTCCTTATTTTGTAAAAATGACAATAACAAATTCTTACAAATGAAGTCGGTTAACCCCTATGGAAAGAGCAGCAGTGGGTAAATCATCTCTCAAATGCAGCCAGAAAGTTAATAGAACGCTCCAATGCATCGTGAATAACTACTTACAGTTTAAGGAGAGATATGATATCCTGCCTATTAGTGGCAGTGCGGAATAGGCCAGATAGGAGAGGAAAGTGAATTCTAGAATAAATGGGCGGCGAAGAGAAGGTGCCATACTTGAACTAAGCATTACACCTGTGGTGCGTGTCGGAAACACCAGGCATGTACCTTTGGAGTCTTTCTCCTTTTTACGATTCACACTACTCACCTATCCACCCATCCTGTGTTGCTTTTTTCGCTTTTTGTGAATGACAGGGACCGCTCCTGCATGCTTGCATTATGCAGCAATAGCAAAGCAAACACTGGTAGACTGTGTGTTTGAGTTACTATTCCCTCGAGAGTCGGGACTATTGTGACTTCGTCGTATTTGATTATCTCGGAGAGTAAAAAGGGGATTTTTTGATAAAAGGAGGACCACATTTCACTTCTCGTTTCCAAAAGTGAGAACAATATTGAGCTACTTCTAACCAAATAAAAAGGAAGACCTGTGTCTAAGACTAGTTAGTGCTGGACATATATTCACGACTATGTTGGAAAAACGGTAGCATTTGCCATAATCTTTCGATATTTCGGTGGTTTTGATGAATGAGTTAGCTCAACTGACTAACAACATCGCAATGTTTAAACAACACGATTTTCCACTCGGCTACTTCACCCTCAGCAGATTATATTCTCCAGCTTCGCACTATGATGTTCCATTCGTGACCTATATGGGGTCACAACTAACCAGCTCTTTAATCTAGACACCTGCATTGGAGATTCAATCTGCTTAATTTATTTCCCTAAATGCCTGGCTCTTTCCAAAATTTTTGTTAGAATTTTGGAACATGCACATACTTTCCTCCGGAAATTGGAAAATTTTGGGGCTGAATTAGGTAAAATAAAATGCAAAATACAATCTTAGTCAGTAACATGATTTTACTTCTTTCCGATTGTAGCTGCAATCTTGCGTTAAGACTAGGACAAAATGCACAAAGATTTAGGATGAACAAGATTTCATACAAATAATTTATCTCGCTGAATTTAGGAAATCGGAAGAAACACCTTCTACTGGAAGCCTCGCCAAGTTACGGAAAGTGATCGGGGCAAAATAGAGGCTGATTACACCTTTCACACATAGAGGTAGATTTGCAGGGAAGGTTTTTATTAAAATTTGGTATGTCTGTTTCAAAACCAGCTCAACATAAACACCTTTAAAGGACAAATGAAGGCCATTCTTAGCTTATCCGGGTCAAAAAAAGTTCTAGCGGATGCCTATTTTAGGTGTAGCTAATCAACCAGAACGTGGCATTCGGCCATTGTGATGTTAGTTATGAGGAAATCCCCTTTCATGCATTATTTATTGGCAGAAATATCCCTTTTGCAAAGAGAATGCACAACATGCAATGGTTGTGTGTCTGCCAAAAGAGACAGGTGATATTTAGTATTTAAGTACCTTTTCTTTTTGCCACCGCTTAGGTGTGATTAACTTGCAAGTGGTTTTAAACCAGGGGAATAAATAATTCTGGGGGTAAAATCGAGTGTGGCTACTCTACATGAGTAGGTGATATTTTATCCTAAAGGCAGTCAACGCTAGAGCAAAATCTATTCAGGGTTTGGTTTAAGCCTCTAAAATATATGTTGTGTTTTTCTGTCCATAACGCTGGCAGCAAACGTCATTTATTTACTTATTTATTTGTTTTTATTTATTAGGCGGCAGGGAGTCAAATTCCTCGTTGAGGTACTTCTATGGCTTTTTTGACTGTGAAGACTGACCACTGCATACCATACGCAGGCTTTTTTCTGGTTGCTATGCAAAGTCGGAATTTACTACCAAATTCAGAGAAGTTGGAAGCTGAATGCTTATTGAGGGAGTCTATTACATATAACTTAAAATATCTTGGAAAATAATCTATGGTTCTAAGCCGCAGTCTTTGTCAACACAGGGAGAGGATCCCACTTCTCTAGCTACTAACATTTGAGAAATCGAAAGCCGTTTTACGTGCTCTCATAATTAGTCTTATGAATGCATAGTTTTGTTTTCACTTACCGCAATATTAAATCCTGGGGGAGTGCCGTACCAATATGGATTGAGATAAAGGGAGTTGAAATAGGAACGAAGCACGCTGCGCGGGGTCCCTTATCCCAGGTAAGAAAACACTTCTATTGTTAGATTTTGCAACACAGTTGGGATGAACTGCAGAACAGGATAAAGTTGGAAGATGGATTATTTGCGCTGTGCAGTGAGAAAGTTGCGTAAACTTGATTCCGCCCACCGCGCTTGGTGTACGCTGCAGCAACTCAACTGGGGAGGTGTTGCTCTGCTCCCATTGCAACTTTGATCCCTCTCCGGATGTTCCCGAATTGCATTGATTCGGAGGCTGACGTTGCCTTACTGTTGATGGAGTTGGATAACCTGTCTGGGGCAGTCCAACACTGCTGACAAAGCTTTCCTTACCGAGGCTGCGTTCCAGAACTTTGTTAAAGGCTGGAATAAGTTTATATGTACTGAGCAAAGGACTTGATAAAAAACGAAGCTATTTGCAATTGTAGGAAATTGATTCTACTTTTTCGGGCTCCAAAGTCTCAGGTTTACTTAATCTCCTCTCTGATTAAAAAAAACATTTGTCTTCTTTTCACATCACTGAGAGTCTCCCTTCTATATAGTTCACCATAAAACATTTGTTGATTTAAAAGCAATATGGAGTGACAGTTCCATTTGTGCTTTTGTATCATAGAATATTTTAATGATTCTTTAATCACGAAAAGGTGCCCAATCGTGAGAAAACCAAGCTTTGAAGGAGGTATCTTTTGAATCGC